ACCCTTTTCTTGGCGGCCCAGTGGTGCCCTGTACCCTTTTTTTGGTTCTGGGTTGCCGTATAAAGTAGCCAACCAAAAAAAGGTACCCTTATTCTAAGATGGCCACAGGGCTACCAAGGTTTTTGTTAGAGCACGAAACTTGCACACCCGAAAACAAAGGGGGTTGAGGGTTCAGGGTTGGGCCCCTGACCAAAGCCTCACCCTTCTTGTTTCAGAAGAGGGCGAAGGTGGGGACTGCCGCCAGAAGCATACCCTAAGGGTCCATGTACCTCATGGTTTATGGTTTGGGGTTTGGGGTTTGGGGTTTAGGGTTTAGGGTTTAGGGTTGTTTACATGCTTGGGCCTCATAGTCCCAATATAGGAAGTACCTTGAGGCCCAAGTATTCCCGATTTAGGTGCACGGACCCCTTGAGAAGCCCCCAAAACCTTGTGTGACTTAGCCCTGTCGTTGCCTCAATGACCATCAAGGACTCTCCCATGGGCCCTTGGACCTTTAAGGTTGAACCCCTGGGTTTGGGGGCCCATTCTAAAGACCCTTTAATTTAGGGGTTTAGGGGTTTAGGGGTTTAGGGGTTTAGGGGTTTAGGGGTTTAGGGGTTTAGGGGTTTAGGGGTTTAGGGGTTTAGGGGTTTAGGGGTTAAGGGGTTAAGGGGTTGAGGGTTGAGGGGTTTAGGGGTTTAGGGTGGGTTTAGGATTTGCAGTGCGGTGTAGGGTTCATAGGGTCATCCTCCATGGCCGGCGATATATTTTTCTGACATCGGTAACGGCCCCATTTTCCAACAAACAATCAAGCGACATATATATATATATATATATTTATAACTAGAGTTTGGGTTTAGGGTTTAGGGTTTAAGGTTTAAGGTTCAGTGGGTTCAGGGTTTAGGGACCAGCCTTGTTCGACCTAAACTCTGCTGAGCCCTAAACCCTAAACCCTAAACCCTAAACCCTAAACCCTAAACCCTAAACCCTAAACTCTGCTGAGCAAGCGTTCTGTGTGGAGGGACTCGAGATGCTGCTACTTGCGGAGAATCAGCTCAGCGGCTCGCTGGCCGCTGCAGCGGCAGGGGTTTAGGGTGTAGGGTTTAGGGATTAGGGTTTTTGTTTTGGATGTATAGGTTTCAAGGTTTAGGGCTTGGGGTTTTTGGTGTTTTGGGATCAAGGTGCATGTTTGAACGCCGAGTTCTCAAAAGCACGGGAGCTTTCCCCCAGTATCGAGGATGCTAGCCCAAACTCCGAGTTTCAATGCTACCCCCTTAAACTGGAAAACAACCCGCAAACCCTCAAGCCTGACAGCCCCACACCCAACCCCTAACCACAAGGCCTCAGCCCTAAACCCCAAACCCAACAGCCCTAAACCCGACACTCTACACCCGACACCCTAAACCCTAAGCACTAAACCGGAGCGTGCTTCGGATCCCAGGCAAGTCCGATAGTGATGCCGGAGCTCCGTGTCGGGGGCCCCAGCTTTTGCGGGCAAGTTGTCTTTGGGTTTAGGGTTTACGGTTTAGGGTTTCGGGTTTCGGGTTTAGGGTTTAGGGTTTAGGGTTTAGAGGGTTCAGGGTTCAGGGTTTAGGGTTTAGGGGTTAGGGGTTAGGGTTTGGGATGCCCCATTTTCAACCAAGAACAGCCTAATCTAGAATCTAAGGGTCGGCGTAACTAGTCATAGCATTCCCTTTATGGTCCCTATATAAATATACTCTGGTAATCATTCATGATATTCCCTTTATGGTCCCCATATAAGGCGACCTGCAGAAGCTCATACATGATGAGACCTGAAATCTCACGACAAACTGCCCGTTCCTTTAGACATTTCCTCGATCAGTGTTAGGGATCCTTTTTACTTTTTGGGCTATGGGTCTTCTTATATATGAACAAAAAGGATCCTTTTTTCTTCCTAGGGGAACAGGGATTAAGTTTCCGTCTCAGTTCTTGATGAGTGGCATCAGCATCTTCTTCAGATTCCACAGTGACAGCGAGTCACTGTTGCACACGTCATGGCAAACATCTACCTTCTGGGCCTAAACCCTAATCCTAAACCCTACACCCTAAACCCTAAACCCTAAACCCGAACTCCCTTCACTGAGTGTACAAGTCACGCTTGCTTCACTTTCGGCGCACCAGACCTATGTCCGCTTACCCCCCCAAAACCCTACAATAGGGATCGGAAGAACTACTGAGAGTATTCCCGTAGGGTCCCTTGATAATTGTACTATAATAAACCCCAAGACCCTGTTCTAACTATTAAAGGAATTAAGGCCCTTGTTCCTATCAACAGACGGCTAGTTGTAGGTTTAGGTTGGCGTTTTGTATTTGGCGGAAACAGGCATTTCGGATACTACTTCGTTTTGGCAATTATGCCAGTGTGGTGGGAAATGCAATGAAAATGCGCAAAAAAGTTCGCCAAATAACCAAATGAAATTGACAATAAACAGCAAAACATCAAACTTAGCAGAAAGACCCCGAAGAGACTCCAGAAAGTTGGAGCATCCTTTTCTACCTATACCCGAAAAGGTATACTAAAGGGAATCCGAGCTCTAATCATCCTTAAGCCGTGTTCCAACTTTCAGGAGTTCACTGTATACTAGTATAGCTTCTATGAAGGCATATGCACTATAAACCCTTTTCGGATTCAGTTGGTCCCCAAGGACGTTGCCACCCCTACCAGGGCAAAACATGGCGCTTGCCGAAAACAAAGCTGGTGGATCTCATCAGCCAAATCCTTTCAGATTTCAAGTTCTGGCTGGCGTCACTTTCCAAGAAAGACACGCAAGGAGGAGCTCGGCAACTCCTTGTCCACTTGGTGCACATGAACTATCATCCACCGCCCGTAAACCCTAAACCCTAAACCCTAAACCCTAAACCCTAAACCACCCTAGACCCTAGACCCTAGACCCGAAACCCTAAACCCTAAACCCTAAACCCCAATTCCTTGTCACTCCCTTCGAAGCCAAGGCGTGCGGGTTGTTTAGGGTTTGGGTGTTTGGGAAGCAAGTTTAGGGTTCCTATTTTAGCTGCTGGGAGCACACCCCGGGCTGAACTAGGGCTTATCGTAAACTCCAGCAAGTTGGAACATAATTAGGGTTTAGGGGTTTAGGGTTTAGGGTTTAGGGTTTACAGAAAGTTGGAACATCATTCTCCTCATACCCTTACGGTAACTGGATGTTGGAGTACTATGCTTGAAAACTTTTTGTTGGTTCTGGGTTCCTATTTTAGCTTCCTATACCCAAAAAGTATATACATTTTTCCGCAGTCTGCTCCAAAGTAGGGTTAAAGTATAGGGGAACCCAGCACGAATGATCCTGAACCTATGTTCCAACTTGCTGGAGTTCACTATACTGTTTCGCCTTCGAGGGATGGCTCGGGTTGAGGTGCTGACTTCCGAGCTTTCTTGGGGGGAAGTCCTTGCCCTGAACCCTAAACCCTGAACTCCACGGTTGATAGGAAATGGAGGGGGGGCGCAGATTTTCGTCCACCCTGTCACGGACCACTGCAAGTCGTGGCAAGTTCCAAGTTCAGCGCTTGTCATTTTCGGTCTGCGCCTGTCAGGTGATGAACATATCCAACAACAAGCTGTCGGGCGCGGCGTGGCTGCAGATACCGATAGTGCCAAGCCTTAAACCCTAAACCCTAAACCCCAAACCCCAAACCCCAAACCCTCAACCCTCAACCCCAAACCCTAAACCCTAAACTCAAAGACTGCCCCAAGCAAGGCTTCTGACAGCTTTTGGCAGGCATTGTGAACGTCAAGGGGCCAGGGACACGCCAAGTCTACCAAGGTTCCAGGCTCAAACAAGTCCCTATAGGCCCGAAACCGTTTAGGGTTTAGGGTTTGGGGTTTGGGGTTTGGGGTTTAGGGTTTAGGGTTTAGGGTTTAGGGTTCAGGGTTCAGGGTTCAGGGTTTAGGACCCCGCCCGGAGCCCCCCGAGGCTGTGCCAACGGCCACGGCTCAGCTGCCGAAGCTGCGCTCGCTGAATCTTCGGAGGAGCGCGGCTCGGGGTTTAGGGTTTAGGGTTTGGGGTTAGGGTTTAGGGTTTAGGGTTTAGGGTTTAGGGTTTAGGGTTTAGGGTTTAGGGTTTAGGGTTTAGGGTTTAGGGTTTAGGGTTCAGGGTTTAGGGTTTAGGGTTTAGGGTTTAGGGTTTAGGGCTGCACCTATACGAGAGGCGTGGAAGTTGGGACTTCCGGCGAAGAAGGAAAGTCGGTGAAAGCCCTAAATCCAAAACCTAAAGCCCCAAAAGCTTACACGCAAAACCCTAAAGAGCCCTAAGCCTCAGTCCCTAAGCCCTAACATCCTAAAACCCCCACATCCCCCCGAGTTTTGCAGTTAGACCGTACGCCCCTCTTTAATCACTAGGAGTCAGAGTAGGCCCTTATTCCCTTTTTTTAAGGGTTTGGGTTCCCTCAAAACCCCGTTTAAGCCAAAAAGGGCACCCCTTTATTGCTAGGTTAGTCCTGGGTCTAGAATAACCCTGAACCCTAAAACCAAAACCCTAAACCCTGAACCCTGAACCCTAAGCCCTTAACAGCCATAGAAAAGTGGAGCCCTAGCCTCCACACTCTCAACCCTGAAGCTCGTGGGTTCCAAGTATGGGCCCTAAATTTGGGTCCCTTGCGAAATAAACCTTACAAACAATCCCTAAACCCTAAACCCTAAACCCTAAAAAACCTAAACCCTAAACCCTAAAGCCTTATTTTATGCGTTATAAGGGTCCGTACTTCGGATCCCTATGAACCAAGGTACGGGACCATACTGCTGAGGGCCTCATATCTTCAATTATGGGAGGGGGGAGGCTTCTTCTTGTTAACCCTCCTAGACCCTAAACCCTAAACCCTAGACCCAAACTCCTAAACCCAAAAACGTCCAGAACACAAGGCCAAGGGGAAGCCGGGCGGGGGAGATGGGGAATGGGGAGGGCTTGCCTAAACCCTTAACCCTAAACCCTAAAACCCACACCTGCAGGAACCTCTTTAGTCTCCAACCGCTTCCCGAAGTCTGGGACGGCATGGCAAATCTCTGGGAGTTGGTCCTCTCTGGGAGCCTCGGTTTAGGGTTTCGGGTTTAGGTTTAGGGTTTCGGGTTTAGGGTTTAGGGTTTGGGGTTTGGGGTTTGGGGTTTAGGGGAGTTGGTCCTCTCTGGGAGCCTCTGGCCATCTTCAGGAAACCCATTTAGGATTTAGGGTTTGGGGTTTAGGGTAGGGTTTAGGGTTTGGGGTTTAAGGTTTACGGTTTGGGGTCCGGGGCTTTAGGGTTTGGGGTGTAGGGTCTGGGTTTAGGGTTTGGCGTTTGGGGTTTGGGGTGTAGGGCTTAGGGCATAGGGTTAGGGTCTAGGATTTGGGGTTTAGGGTTTGGGTTTTAGGGTTTGGGCAAATACAGGGGTTTGGTGTTTAGAATCTTAGGGTTTGGGGTTTTTTTTCATGTATTGCCCACCCCCCTCTCCCCCCCCTCTCCCCCCCCTCTCCCCCCCCCCCCCCCGCCCTCCTCCCCCCCTCCCCCCCCCCCCCCTCCCCCCCCTCCTCCCCCCTCCCCCCCCCCCCCCTCCCTCCTCCCCCCCCCCCCCTCCCTCCCCCCCCCCCCTCCTCCCCGCCCCCCCTCCTCCCCCCCCCCCTCCCCCCAGAGATAAAGAAACCTAAATCCGAAAAACCGTGAGAACCCAAAGCCCGGGTTTAGGGTTTAGGGTTTAGGGTTTAGGGTTACATCCTCGCGATGTCCTTTTCAACCCTATAGACACTCATAAACCCGTCTTGTGAACCACAGAAGGTCTCATAAACTTTTTAGGGTTTAGGGATAGGGTTTAGGGTTAGGGTGTAGGCTTTAGGGTTTAGGGTTAGGGTGTAGGGGTCAGCCTGCAAACCTCAATCGTAAGAGCCCAGGAACCAGTTTTTCTCGAGCCTCCCTTCAACCTTCCCTACGCTCACGCAGCTCCGAGCGACGCGGCGGCATGAAGTGGGTGGGCCCTTGAGGATTCAGTGAACGAAAACTGGGGCCATATACCTACAGGGTTCATAGGGTTTACAGGGTTTATAGGGTTTCAAGGGTTTATAGGGTTTATAGGGTTTATGGGGTTTATGGGGTTTATGTGGGTGGGCTGAGGCCTTAAGGACGGCATGAGCCCTAAAAGGGTTTGTGGTTCATAAACTTCAAAAGGGATGATAGTAGTATAGGGTACATGACCCGCATTTTGCATGGAGAGGGTGGGCTCAGGGTTTGTAGGGTTTATAGGGCTTTTGGGGTTAATGGGTTGATAGGGTTTACAGGGTTTTATAGGGTTTTAGGGTCTACAGGCTTTAGAGGGTTTATTGTTTAGGGTAATTATTCCGCGACCCAAGGTTCTATACCAATTGCGTTTTAGGGTTCCGGATTTGTGTAAGTTCTGTAGAGTCATGAGAGGGCCCAAAAATGGGAAACTTAGGTTGCATGGAATTTGGGTTTTCTCTAGTTCAAGTTCGCCAGAAATACGACGCTTGAAGAACGGTGAGATTATTTTTATATTGTTAGTGCAGCTGGTTCCTACATGTACCAGTGAGATTGTGTCAATGTGTCAACCAACTCATCTTTTCTGTAAAACGTGTGATCTGGGGAGAACCGGCCTCTGTGCTTGTAAGTGTGATACAAGCCCTTAAATCTGCGAAGTATATCTTTGTCGTATGCCTAGTTTGGTTGATGCAATTGCCCGAAGGGCCTGAAAGTACTTCCTATGTCGGGACTTTGGGCCCAAGTATACCTTAATGACCCTGAGGGTGAGTCTTTAAATGTCCTCCCTAAACCCCAAACCCTAAACCCGAAGCCTCAAAATTAGGGCTTTAGCTTGTTTAGGCCTGTCAACATGTCAGGGCTGACAAGTTTCATCAGTTTTGTTCGAGAAAGAGTCTGAACCCAAAAGAGTAGGCCTTTATTTCTCCTTTTTTTGGGTTTAGGTTCCCATATAAGTTTTGTTTAAGAACCGAAAAGGGTATGTTTTTGTCCTAGGTTAGATTTAAGCGAATGATTGCCTTTTTGTTTCGAATTTAGACGGGAGAAGGGAATGAATCTGGTCCAGCTCAGTTCGCTGAATGGTTTTCTTGATTGCTCTTTGTTCTTTTCACTTCGTTCACTTGGCAAAGTTAGCAACATGTTTCTTCGATGAGTTTACAAGCTACCAAAAATGGGTGTGACGTTATGTAGATCGCAGGGGCAACCTCATCACGATGGCTCACATGTTTCAACTGCGAATCTGAAAGGTCGTTCTGTTCTGCCAAAATGTTTTCCCAATGTGGGGGTGTACGAAAATACGGGGACCCTAAAATAGACCCCCCCCCCCTAAATAGTAGAACGGACTCCAATAAGGTACCCCTAATATCGGAAACCCCCCCAAATAGGACCCCATACCACTACAGGGTGATTTTTCGGAGCCCTTGTTAAAGGAATCAACTTTTTGCATCCTCCCGGGGGTCCGGGTTTAGATGAATCATGGATGCTTTCGTCAATGCAACCAGCCCCGTCCAGGATTCCGTGGTGAGGGCAGAGGGGCGGCAGCATGCAAAACCACTATACGTACAAAGACATAAACAACTATATATATATGTATATATGTATATATATATATATGTATACTTGTCTATCTAAATGAATGTAAACCTCACAAATGCGCCGGTACCTGAATTCCGTAAACCCTTTAAAAAAAAAAAACGGGTTCTGCAGATGCCAAATATCTTGGCGAGCTGGGTCGTGCCAGGGAAGGAGCCGATGCCATTGCCATGCAGGCTTGCGCAATGCTCTTGGAGCACTCTGCTTGCAGGGCAACTTGGAGGTCAACCCCTAAACCCTAAACCCTAAACCCTAAACCCTAAACCCTAAACCCTAAACCCGTTTGGTCTCCATGACGCCGGAACCGGCAGGAGAGCACTGACAGACACGGGGACGCAAGATGACGCCAAGAACTGTCCAGATCTTGCTCGAAGTGAAAGCAACACCGTGCCGCAGATTGCCCTGTCCTTTCCTCTGACGATGAGACACCCTGGCAGGTGAGCAACCCTAAACCCTAAACCCTAAACCCTAAACCCTAAACCCTAAACCCTAAACCCTAGACGCCCCCGCCATGTCTTGAAAGGCCTCAACCTTGGGGGACCAAACGAACCCCACAAGGGCAAAACGGGTCTATGGGTTTAGGGTTAACAGGCTTCGGGTTCACATTGCCTCGATTGGAAGTATAGTAGCGTAGTGTATATCACCCGCCCCCCCCCCCACCCCCCCCAATTTTCCAGTTCGTTTGGTCCCCAAGGAAGGGCAAGTGACACCGATGTACGCTCGCTCTTGCACAAGCGTTGCTACCCCACGCCTCGACATGTCAATATTCTCACTGGCTATCATGTTTGTTAGCTGTCTACTACTGTTTTGGCACACTATTCATACTACCTCATGCCACTTATGCACTTATTTGTGCTTTATGTCTGACTTCTCATTTAGCATCTGGTAGCTGCACTTAACAAGCCTTCGTGAATGATGATCACTAATTTCATTACCCTTTCATCCTCTAGTGGTTCAAAGGCCTCAACAACAGCAGCAGAAGCAGCAGCAGAAGCAGCAGCAACAGCAGCAGCAGCGGCAGCCGCAGCGACAGCTCCAGCTCCAGCTCCAGCTCCAGCGGCAGCGGCAGCGGCCGCCGACAACCACCGACGACGGCGACGACGGCGATGACGACAGCGACGACGGCGACGACAGCATCGACAGCATCGATCGCATCGACAGAATCGACCGCATCGCGACAGCATCGACAGCATTCACAGCAGCGACAGCTGCGACAGCAGCGGCAAGAACAAGCAATCTTTGAGTCCAAACATATAAGCTTCAATCCCAACTCCTCATTCCCTCACCTCGTCAATCCTCAACCGCGAGGTTCTGGACATCTCTGAGACGGGTGTGAGGGGCTCTGCCCCGAAGCGGATGGATGCATGGCCTGGTGATTGGCTCAGGGTTTGGGGTTCGGATTTAGGGGGTTATAGGAGTTAGGGTTTAGGGTTTAGGGTGGTTAGGGTTTGGGGTTTTAGGGTATAGGGTTTAGGGTTTAGGGTTTGTAAGGTTATCTCAGGGTAGTTCTATGGCCCTGAAGATTCCTTTAAAGGGTTCTGAAGTATGGGCGCTTAGGTTTGTGTAGGGTCTTTAAGGGGTAAAAACGGGGTCCCCTTTTGAGGGGCTGGTACGAAGGTACAATGTAACCACTTTAAGAGTAGGGTTTACGGTTTAGGGTTTAGGGTCTCGGGTTTAGGGATCCTCTTCTCCAAGAGCTTTGGGAGCAAGGGGGCGCTGACTTGTGCCATTTGATGAGAGTGTAGAGGAACCTCTATGCCTCTATGCAGGGTCCCGAAACCCTAAACCCTGGCCCTAAACCCTCAGCCCTAAACCCTAAACCCTGAACCCTAACTCCTAACCAAAACCTCATTCATATGCTGCAGCCTCGTTCCCAAGCTCCTCAAAGAAGAGATGTCAGAGCCTTCCAAACCCAAGCCCTTGAAGCCTAAATTAGGGTTTAGGGTTTAGGGTTTAAGGTTTAGAGTTTAGGGTAAACCCTGAATGCCCGAAGCCCTAAACCCTAAACCCTAAGCCCTAAACCGTGGCTCGGAAGCTCAACAGTCTTCCAAGTTCTCATCGTGGATGCTGCTGCTATAGTATTTGCAGCCTTACTATCCCCCTGCCCAAGATAAGACCTACAGAAGCTTGCTTGAGCCATATTTTGGGTTGTTGGGCCCTAAACCCTCAACCGTAAGCCCAGTTCGGGTTAGGACACTGTAAGACATCAATACTTGAGGACGCTAGGATTGCAGGAGTTCAGGGCTCTTTGGCTGCCACCGTTTTTAGGTTTAGGGTTTAGGGGGTTTAAGGATTTAGGGTGTGGGGTGGGAGACCCTAAACAACGGTAATTACGGGGCTTTCGGCTTCAAGGGCTGCGCTTAGGTCTGGAGGGAGCTTCGGGGTCTGTGGGCTTTGAAAGCCACTCCTCATGACTTCATCCCCAGGAGTCCCTAATCTACTCTTTGTTTAAACAACAAACATATTCTTCCTTAGAATGGCAAGAAAGGGATGTTTCGGGGGTTCTTAAGCAAATAGTAGAATGTAGTACAATCCTCACCTGTCGCCGAGGAACAGATGTCACAACTTGTTGTGTTCGACATCCACGGCACCAGGGTCGAACGCGGAAAATTCAGGCAGCTCCCCCTAAACCCTAAACCCTAAACCCTAAACCCTAAACCCTAAACCCTAAACCCCTTGTCATTGTCCTTTCCGCATGGTGTAGGTGCCCACAGTTGGCCCAGAGGGTCCATTTGTAGTACTCGTATGGAATTAGGTACCCAAAACCATACTAAATAGGGTTTTTGGGGTACCTAATTCCATGATAGTACTAAGAATGGAGCCTCTGGGTGATCTGCATTCCGGCAAGGCACTCAAAGATGCGGCATTGTGGTCATGAGCGTTTGTCGGTGGCGTACGCCAGCCCAATTCTCTGTGCAAGCCCTGTTCTTGAAATAAGCCAGATGTACATACAGATTCACAACAAATGCGTGAGATCGGGAAAGAATCTAAAGCCCAAAAGCCCGATGAAGTCTGCCTCATGCTATGAACAACCTAGTTTGCAAGAAGCCCTGCATTGCCAAGGGTAGTTTCACAAAATGGCCCCTTACCTTCTTTAAAGGGTTCTGAAGTATGGGCCCTTGTGTCTTGCAGGGTATACACCCCAGAGGGTCCATTTGTAGCACTCGTATGGAATTAGGTACCCAAAAACCCATACCAAATTGGGTTTTTGGGTACCTAATTCCATAATGGTACTACGAATGGACCCTCTGGGAAAGGGGTAGAAGATGCAGGCGCAATGTTCCCTCTAAGAGAAGCTGGCAAACGTTGCTGATCGTCCTGTTTGAAAGCCCACCCTTGCCAACTACCACGTTGTACAAATCCTAGGGGTTTAGGGTTTTGGGTTTAGGGTTTAGGGTTTTAGGGTTTTAGGGTTTTTGGGTTTTTGGGTTTTTGGGTGTTTGGGTTTTTGGGTTTTTGGGTTTTTTGTTTTTTTGGGTTTTTGGGTTTTTGGGTTTTGGGATTTTTGGGTTTTTGGGTTTTTGGGTTTTGGGTTTTTGGGTTTTTGGGGTTTTGGGTTTTTGGGTTTTAGGGTTTTAGGGTTTTAGGGTTTTAGGGTTTTAGGGTTTTAGGGTTTTAGGGTTTTAGGGTTTTAGGGCTTTAGGGCTTTAGGGCTTTAGGGCTTTAGGGCTTTGGGCTTGTCCTGCTTCTTCACTTGTTTGCGGCCCCTTGCAAGGGCCTTGGGGTTTGGGGTTTGGGGTTTGGGGTGGGAAGCCAGCACAGCATGGAGGCCTAAAATACCCGAGCCTGCTAGCTACACCCTGCATCTAGAGGTGACTGCCATAAAATGTGGTCCCCTATCTCTGCTGGAGGGTTCTGACTTGTTGGTCCTTGCGTACGGCTATAGACGGGCACACACGATGGACGACTCCTATATTCTATAACCCTAAACCCTAAACCCTAAACCCTAAACCCTAAACCCTAAACCTAAAACCCCGGCTGCAGACACACGTACCCGGACACGACGGTGACGTCGATGGGAGGTGATGGCAAGAACTGTGCGCCAATGCCCTTTGGATGCGTGTTTGGGGTTTGGGGTTTAGGGTTTAGGGTTTACACTCCTGCAAACTTACATGGAAACTACGTGCGAAATTTGGTGCAACTAACATAGAAACGGTTACCCGATGTTGACCCCTAATTTCCCCAATTAAAGCGAGGGCGAGGACCCCCTCAGGAAGAGTCTATGTTAGTGTTTCCGCTGGGGGCTGCTGGGGCATTTTTCTGGTATGTAGCAGCAGGCTGATGCGGGAAGGCATGCGCACAACTTCCATGTTAGTGTCGATAGACCTCCGAAAACACGCATAAAAGACCTTGCACTCGTATTCCTGGAAGTTGCTACGTTAGCAGTGTTCTGCTGTAAAAAAGGACTTTTCAGCATATTCCAGGAATTGCTAGGTTAGCGGTGCTCGTCGCCCACAACATCCCCCCCCCCCTCCGACCCCCGACCTTCCGGAACTACCCCCTCCACCCGTGACCACAGCCTCCCTGTGCTCCTGGAACCTTTGCCTCCCCCTCCAAAACAGGGTTATCGCCGGAATTGCTGTGTTTGTGGTCCACTCGCATGTTTGGTTGGGTTGTGGGTGTGTACTGCTGTGCGCGGTCTCTATCTGTGGTAAGCTGTGCAAACTCGCCTGCTGCACGCGGTCTCTGTCTGTGAAAAGCTGTGCAAACTTGCAGCTGAGAGTCATCACGCAAATAAAAGGAGTTGCTGTGTTGGCAGTGCGTCACCCCAACCCCTCCTCCCTCCGTGACCCTGACCCCTGACCATTGCTACGTTAGCAGAAATCCCTCTCCGCCCTTCCAGCCTGCTCAGTGTTCTGCCTTGTCGGCATAGTCCAGCAACTGCTAGGTTAGCAGTGCTTGTCTCCCACCCCCGCATGACCATACCCTCCCGTACTCCTGGATCCCTCGCCTCTCCTCCATGACTAACTGAAGGGGGCTTTGTAAGGTTATCTCAGGAATTGCTATGTTAGTGGTCGGTGTGCGCTGCTGCCGCGGGTCTCTGTCTGTGAGCTGTGCAAACTCGCAGCTGGGAGCCTCCCTGTCCCTGACCCCCTGACCATTGCTACGTTAGCAGAAACCCCCCTTCCACCTTTCCTCCCTGACCCCCGGACCCCACCCCTGACCATTGCTACGTTAGCAGTGCTCCTCCCTGACGCCTGGGAACCCTCCTCCCCGTCCCTGACCATACCCTCCCCGTACTGGGGGGCTGTGGCAAGTTTTTTGCTGGCGTGCACAAGGCTTACGGGATCTTGCGTGGGCCTCTAAACCCTAAACCCTATACACCCTAAATCCCAAACCCAAACCCCAATACGGTGTAACAACCCGAAGATGCTGGCGTCAACCCGAGTCGTAAAGTCAGAGGATCTTTCTGAATGTTCCTGAAAATGCAGCGAACATGAAAGTAAATTGCAAAGAAGTGAAACGAATGCGCGAATTCACTGAACGAAATATAGCGGCCAGTTCATTTTATTCACTGGCGATCTTATTTCCATTATTGGTTTTCTATTCAGGGGGCAATTTTACTACATTTTTTTATCAGCCCCCTTAAAAACCGCTAACAGTTAAGCCGCTAACATAGCATCTCACAGATTTGCCTCGACTATGCCGTTTTTGACCTTTGGGGCGCTACAACCACTAACATGGCAATTCCGGGTTCTGGGGCATTCTTCAGGTTTTCCTGACAAGAAAGCTCTCCAGGCTGGGCACGCTGCGAGTTGCCATCTACTCTGACCTACCGGCCGGAAACCACTAACATAGCATTTCCGGCCGCGAGAAAAACTAACATACAGAGTGTCGTCAAAAAACACCTACGGGGGTTTCTATGTTAGTTTGTAGGAGAGTAGGGTTTATAGTGTTTATTTATAGGGTTTCTAGGCTTTACAGGGTTTGTGGTTTCTGGATTCAGGGGGTCCAGTTTAGGGCTTGAAAGCTTTGGAACTCTGGGGATTTAGGTTGAGACTTTTCTGGTTCAAGACTTCGTGTGCAAAGTTTGTGGACCCTAAACCCTATGCATGGGGTTGGATTGATGCGCTGCGAGGGTTTAAACCTCAGGCCCTGAACCTCAAACCCCAAACCCTATAAACCCCCCTCCCAAGCATCAGGTAAGGAGGTCATTTTCACAGGAAAGCGGCCATGGGGCACTCTATTATAACGTCTTAGGGTTCAGAGCTTAGGGTTTAGGCATATGGGTTCGTAAGATCTAGGGGGTTTCTGGCCACTTCACTGGCATGCTACACCCAAAGTGGAATCTGCAGTATATTTGTGTTTTTCCTTTTTTGGGTTTCTGTCTTCCTGATGTGTGACAGAGAGCCCCCCTCCCCCCCCCCCCCCCCCCCCCCCCCCCCCCCAACAAAAAAACAGGAAAAACAGTAATAGTCATGTATATGTATATATGTAATTCTCACAAGAAGAATAATAAGAATAACCGGAAAATAGTAGAAATAAACCTAATAATAATCATAATAAAATTAATAAAATATTAATAATAATAATAATCATAATAATAATCGTACCAACACTTTTTCCGGGGCTGCCTCAACTCGGCGCCTTCTGCAAGACCCAGGCTCGAGGACCCCTGCTGCCTTTTCGGCCGGTCGTCGAACCGCTGCACGCTTGAGGAGATCCTGAGGACACAGCTCGGTTTTTCAGGGTTTAGGGTTTAGGGTTTAGGGTTTAGGGTTTAGGGTTCCGGGTTTAGGGAGTCCGTTTCTTGGCTTGGTCTTGAGGGGGCTTGGGATGGGTAAGGAACGAGGATACAACAATTTCATTCAGGGTTTGGGTTTAGGTTTAGGGTTTAGGGTTCAGGGTTCAGGGTTCAGGGTTCAGGGTTCAGGGTTCAGGGTTCAGGGTTCAGGGAATTGGGTTTAGGGTTTAGGGTTTGGGGTTTAGGGTTTAGGGTTTAGGATTTGGGGTTTAGGGTTTAGGGTTTAGGGTTTAGGGGTGTCTTGGAGGAGTTTGGGGTGGTGGTCCGTAAAAGATATGGATGCCTCTCAGTAGCCTATTGCTCCAAACGCTTCCAACCTATGGTGTTTATATCTTCCCTCACCCCAGTTTGGGGTTTATAGGGTTTCATTTTTCAAAGGGCTCAGAGCATGTTTAAGCCTGAGGCTCTCAAAAGCACCCTACCTTGGCAATTGCCTAGACGCCAACTTGTTTTCTTTGCACGGTTTGGTGATGCAGTCCTAAACCCTAAACCTTAAATGAGATGCATCAGGAACTGCAAGTGAGGGTCTCGGCAAGCTCAAAGGAACTGAATGCTGCTCTGGAGTTAGGGTTTAGGGTGTAGGGTTTAGGGTTTAGGGCTTAGGGTTTAGGGTTTAGGGTTTAAGAAGTTCGAGTTCCCCCTGGGGGTTTGGGTTTTGGATTTTTCAGGAATACGGTGTGCGCGCAGAACTCTAAAATATCTGTCGGCATCCAAAGCTCTGTGGGCGCAGGCTGAAGGGTTCGTCAAGTCCAGTCTTAAAGGCCTAAACCTCACAGCAGGTTGTTCCCTAAACCCTAAACCCTAAACCCTAATCCCTAAACCCTAAACCCTACAAGGCCTAAACCTCACAGGAGGTTGTGGACTCCGCCCTACTGGCAGCGGCACGCGTACCCAGCAGATACACCCTTCTGCTCCTGGTCAGGTGCCGGTCCTGTAGAGGGGGTTTGTTGTTTTTTGCTTTTTGTTTTATCGAATTTCGGGGCCTGAAGCTCGTCCTAAACTGTAAGCCCCTATCTGTGTTCGCGTGAGACATGCTTTGGCTGAGGGGCCCTCTGTACATACAAGGTTGCCTGCTTGAACAGGAGCCAGCCGCTGTTCGCCGTGTTTTTTACAAGACTGCAGCTTTGTTGTTGACCTAAACCCTGAACCCTAAGCCCTAAACCCGGAACTGCTGTGCGGATCTTCAAGACCCTCAGGCCCACAGCCCTCTAAACCCTATGCGGCAAACCCTAAAACTCTTGTAAGTTGGGATGTTCCCCCATATACTAACAGTCCTTAATATGGGGACTGTAGTACCCTCTGTAAAAACCCCTATTAAGGACTGTTAGTATTGGGGGGAGCATCCCAACTTATGAGCCCTAATCCCCTAAACCCTTCCAACCTCCGCGAAGTGAGAAGAGTAGCTCCTAAACCCTAAACCCTAAACCCTAAACCCTAAACCCTAAACCCTAAACCCTAAACCCTAAACCGTGGGGAGGGGGACTCAGGGAGTCTAGGACCCACAGTAGGTTCTTATTCCCTTTATTAGGCTTTTAGGTTCCCTTGTATGCCTGTTTAACCCTTGTATTCCTGGGTTACTCTTGGGTCTAAGGGCTTAGGGTGTAGGCTTTTAACAGGAGCGCTATGTCTGACTTGGCCAATAGTTGAACTTTAAACTTTTTGGGTTTCCTTAACCTTTTTTCCCCTTGGGTATTGGAGAAGTAAGATGTTACGAATGGTATCCATATAGGGACACCCTAATGTCAACCCACCTCCCCCCTTCACCCCCCCCCCCCCCCCCAAGCCATATGCAGTTTCTACATCCGCCCCAGAAGTGTTGTTAGGTATCAGTCTCTACAGAAAGGTGCTCCGATCCACAAGTTAAGGGTCTAGGATGAGCCAAACCAGACAAGACAGAAAGCATCCCTAAACTCTTTCAATGGGCTAGTAATGGACCTTGATGCACACCAAGATCTTCCTGATAATGCTCCCAAGCAAGCCCTCAAGAAGCCTTAACCGAACTCCTCTCCCCAAATACTCCCCCCGAAACCCTAAACCCCTAAACCCCTAAACCCCTAAACCCCTAAACCCCTAAACCCCTAAACCCCTAAACCCCTAAACCCCCAAACCCCAAACCCCAAACCCCAAACCCCAAACCCCAAACCCCAAACCCCAAACCCCAAACCCCAAACCCCAAACCCCAAACCCTAAACCCTAAACCCTAAACCCTAAACCCTCTGAGATGTGGGCCGGCGGTCGTGAGTTGCGCTCCCGGGAGCTGCGAGGTGTGACCTGCGCCACTGTGGAGGGCCGTCCAAGGGCGTCCTGGCTAAACCCTCAACCCTGAGCCCTAAACCCTATATAAACCCTAAACCCTAAACCCTAAACCCTAAACCCTAAACCCTAAACCCTATGCCAAGCGATCCATGTACCCATCTTGTAGAGACTCAGTCCAACATAGTGACGGCTGCAGCGAGCTCCCAGATGTAACGAACAGAAGTCCTTGTGCACACTTTTAGGATGCGCAGTAGCACCCTTATCCCTTCTTGGATGGTTTAGACTCCCTTATAAACCCCTTTCGGCCAAAAAAGGGCAGGACCCCAATTTTGGGATGACCTCCCTAGACGCTACCACCCCCCCCCCCCCCCCCCCCCCCACACCCACGCCCACGCCCACGCCCACGCCCACGCCCACGCCCACGCCCACGCCCACGCCCACGCCCACGCCCACGCCCACGCCCACGCCCACGCCCAGGCCAGCACGCACGCAAGCACGCCCGCAAGCACGCACGCACACATGCACGCACACAACCACACACCCACACACCCGGCGCCCACACGCCATCATCATCAGCTTCATCAACATCAGCACCATCGCCACCACACTCTTAAGCCCTAAGCCCTAAGCCCAAAACCCCAAACCCCAAACCCCAAACCCTAAACCCCAAACCCCAAACCCTAAACCCTAAACCCTAAACCCTAAACCCTCTCTCTCCCTTTCTCTCAAGGTGGTAAGGCTCATCCTGGAGGATGCCCTGATGCCCCTTTGGCTGAAGAGGAAGGTCACTCGTAAGGGTTTAGGGTTTAGGGTTTAGGGTTTAGGGTTTCGGGTTTCGGGTTTCGGAGTTAGGGTTTCGGGTTTTGGGTTTCGGGTTTCGGGTTTCGGGTTTCGGAGTTAGGGTTTCGGGTTTCGGGTTTCGGAGTTAGGGTTTCGGGTTTAGGGTTGCGGATTTAGGGTTTCGAGTTTAGGGTTTAGGGTTTCGGGTTTAGGGTTTAGGGTTTCGGGTTTTGGGTTTCGGGTTTAGGGTTTAGGGTTTCGGGTTTAGGGTTTAGGGTTTAGGGTTTAGGGTTTAGTTTAAGGTCCTAAGCCCCAACGCTGCTCCGTGCATGAGTTTTGAATTGGAGTTAGGGTTAAGCAATTTTGGGGTCAGGGTTGGTCAGGGTGCGAAAATCGGTATTTCCCCATGATGATGGGATTCCGCTTGTCGGGTTTAGGGCTTGGGATTCTGGGTTCGAACCACCTTAGGCTTATAAGACGTATAAGCACAACCCTAAACCCTAAACCCTAAACCCTAAACCCTAAACTATATTCGGATCATACGGATCATACGCCCTTTACCTGCTCTAATCCCTGCTAGACATGATACACACACCCTTTCGGGACTCAGCTGGTGTGACCCTAAACCGTAAACCGTAAACCCCTAAACCCTAAACCCCTAAACCCCTAAACCCTAAACCCCAAACCCTAAACCCTAAACCCTAAACCCTAAACCCTAAACCCTAAACCCTAAACCCTAAACCCTTCCTCGTGACAGATCACGATGAACCCTCAACCGCCCTAAGCCCCACAAAACAAGGTCTGGCATGCTGAACGGGCATTGGGAAGACTCTTGGTCCCGTAGCTTAGAAGTAGAGTATAGGGTTTAGGGTTTAGGGTTTAGGGTTTAGGGTTTAGGGTTTAGGGTTTAGGGTTTAGGGTTTAGGGTTTAGGGTTTAGGGTTTAGGGTTTAGGGTTTAGGGTTTAGGGTTTAGGGTTTAGGGTTTAGAGTAGGTAACCTTTAACCTTTTTGGTCACGCCTGACGCTGGGGACTCGCTTGTGCACACGTCGTGCTTTAACAGTTTTGGGGTCCTATATTCCGTTTGTAGTTAACCTTTCGTTCCCCTAGGATACTGGACAACTAGGGTTGGGTTTTTGTTTTTGCTGCTGCTGTTGAAGATTGCAAGTTCGGCAGGCATGTTGGGGGTGCAGGTTCAGGGAAACCCTAAACCATAAAACCCTAAAAGGCTCTTTGGGTTGGGGCATGTTCCTATGGATGTTCTCCCTCATGTATAACAGCCCTTAATATTTAGGGATTATCATAGGGGGGAGCCTCACAATTTCTTGCGCGGAAGGGCAGGCCGCGTACTCTCTGGGTAAGACTTTGCCGGTCTTGGGTTGTGGGCTGTGGGCTGTGGTGGCTATGAACTGAATGAGTACACTTTACACTTTTTGGGATGCAATGATCCCCTGTAGAACTGGAAGTGTACACTTTGTTGGGGCTGATGAACTCAGCAACTAAGATGAGCGAAGCTGAAGGTACGTTGGAATCGAGTCTCACGTGTTCAACGGATGGTCTTAAGAAAACACTCAGTCATACGACATAGCCCTAAATCCTGTAAAGCCCCCTAATACCCAGAGGGTCCATTTGTAGTACTACTATGGAATTAGGTACCCCAAAACCCTATTTAGTACACCCTAAACCCGAAACCCTAAACCCTAAACCCTAAACCCTAAACCCTAAACCCTAAACCCTAAACCCTAAACCCTAAGCCCTAAGCCCTAAACCCCAATCCCATACTAGTACTGCAAATGGACCCTCTGGGATGCGAGTTGGAGCTTCAATTTTGGCGGGTCCGACTCTTTCGTCTTCCGCCATGACCCGAGACTCCAAAAAGCAAAGAGTGCAAGCTTCATGCCTAAAGAGTGACGTAGACATGACGCCAGGCACCCCAGTAGGCCGGGAGAGAGGAGAGAGAGAGAGAGAGAGAGAGAGAGAGAGAGAGAGAGAAAGAGGGAGTGAGAGAGAGAGAGAGGGAGTGAGAGAGAGAGGGAGCGAGGCGGCTTGCCACTTTCTTCTCCAAAAAACAACACCCGGGGCCTGGGAGTGCGGATTCTTGACGGCGACCACGGGATGGACTGACCCAATGGGTTAGTACTATACTGTTTTTTGTTCTGGGTGCCTATTTTGGATGCTTAGACCCAAAAAGTATATACTTTTTCCAGGGTCTACTCCAATGAAGGGGGGTTCGGGGGTTTCATGGGTGTCTAGAGTTTCTCAAGTTTGGAGGGTTTCTAGGGTTGTGGGCCAGTTGTGGGTTCACATTATAATACTGAGCCATTTGTCTTTGGGTAATGAGTCAAGCAGGGACCATAGTGTCAATTTCCCACGAAGATGAAAGAAGAGGACCAGCAATTGAACCCTCAACCCCAAACCCTAAACCCTAAACCCCAAACCCCAAACCCTAAACCCTAAACCCTAGATTGTGTTGCTGAGGAATCCAGAGCCTTCCACTCTCGCATGCGGAACACCCGACCTATCCTAGTTGCCAGGAAGTGCTAGCTTGAGGGGTTTGGGTTATTGTAGTAGCGTTATACAGGGGCCATACTCAAGATTGTTAGTGATTACTCCCATGTGGTCCCCATGCTGAGTTTTGCTGAGACATGATCAGCACCAGGATGTTGCGGCATGTCCAACCATATCCCGATAAATTCTCTCACTCTCTGAAACCCTGAACCCTAAACCCTAAACCCTAAACCCTAAACCCTAAACCCTAAACCCTAAACCCTCTCTGTAACCCTTAAGAACCGAAGAAACATCGCAGAGCCTGTAAGCCCACAAGCCCTCGACCCCAAAGAGTCTGGGTACCTATATACTATATGCTTGGGCCCTAAAGCTACTATATAGGAAGCCCTTTGAGGCCCACTGTAGGCACATGGACCCTTTGGGACCCTAAACTCTAAACCTAAACCCTACACCCTATATAAACCGTTTATGTACTTTCAACAGTGAGCCGAGGATTTAGGTGAGCTCAGAGAGCTCCGCGTACGGAGCCGGCGCACGACAGGCGAGGCATTTGTGGGAGTTTGGGTTGTGTTGGGGGCTTTGTTGAGGGCTTACAGGGTCTGGTGTTTGTAGTGTTTATACGGTTTGTTATGGGGTTTATGGGTTTAGGGTTTTTCGGATGCCAACGCCAAGATGACTGCGTGGTGAAGAAGGGTTTTGGATGGGGGGGGGTATTAATGGGTTCGTTACAGGGCGTACTGTCCCCTTGAGCTGGGATACACATGTTTTGTTTTTGATTTCGTGCACGTGTAATTGTCGGCTAATCGTTCTGACTGGTCGCGGCTTATGTGTTTTGTTTCGAAGATTTTTGGCCCCTCACACGCTGGAAACTCAGAAGTCGTTGCAGTGCCCACTGTGTTACATGCACACGAGCGTCATGTGAGCAATGATCAGCAGTTGTCAAAACACAAGAGACTCCGGCCAAGGGCATTCCAACAAGACATCAGGCGGAAGATGCTGCTCGAAGCACGTAAGCTGGCATAAGCAAACCGTTTGCACTGCAACGATTTCTGCGCCCAGTTTAACTGGGCGCTGACTCCTGTGTCTCAGCATGGTGCCTCCGCAATGAATTGGCTGCGAGACTGCGGCAAGAGTCTGTTTGGGCAATTTGTGACGCTCGCCCTTTGACCCTTCGGCGAAACTCGTCGAGCCCCCTTGAGAGTGTGATGCACAAAGGCACGTGCGACCGGCGACATGTGCATGGTTGAACAAAATGGCGATTCCTCCTGCCAAAAGCTACTAGTTGCTTCAGAACCCGAAAAAAATGAAATATTCTTGCTGAATAAGGTCAATATAGGGATGATTAGTTTTCATTCTTTTTGGGTTCTTAAGCAAATAGTAGCAAGGTTTAATGTGTTTGCCACACCGACTAGCAAAGGAACGAAGCGACAATCGAACAAGAACGCAGTCACAACACTAGCGGCGGCTTAGGGTTTAAGTTGGGATGTCCCCCCCTATCCTAACAGTCCTGAAACGGGATCCTAATAGGGGGTACCGGGGGTACGATAATCCCTAAATTAAGGACGGTTAGTATACGGGTGAACATCCCAAGGTTTAGGGTTTAATTTGGTAGTCTGGGTTTAGGGTCTAGGGTTTTGGGGTTCTGGTTCATTACGACAAACCGCACACCGGTCAGGCAAGATGTCATGCTTCTGGGGTTTGTGTCATGGGGTGGCACCGTACAGTAAACACTGAAACCGTCACCCAAAATGGGGTTGGGGTTTAGGGATGACGGTTTCGTGTTTCGGGTTTCGGGTTTTGGGTGCTTTTGTGTTGAGCATTTGGGGTTTAGGGTCAATACCGCAACTTCTTCAAGACTTTGTTCCGAAATTCTATACCCTAAACCCAAAACCCAAAACCCTAAACCCTAAACCCTAACCCTATCCCTTATTGACGCAGGAGGCCTGCAATGGAAAATGGGGTCGATGTCGAAGCTGGAGATACTCGAGCTACAAGGACGGCGTGGTGGAGTCCAGGGATGGCTTTTGGTGCTTTAGGAAGTCTGGGCTTTCGGGTTTAGGGCTTAGGGCTTAGGGCTTGAGGTTTAGGGTTTAGGATTTAGGGTTTAGGGTTTAGGGTTTAGGGTGTAGGGTGTAGAGTTTAGGGTTTAGGGCTCTGAGTTTTCTGGTTTAGATCACAGGGTTTGGGGACCGTGGGGTTGGAAGGTGAGGGATTGGTGGGGACCCAGAGCCCCCAAAACAAAACCCCTTGAATCCTAAACCCTACACCCTACTGTAAACCCTAAACCCTAAATCCTTCGTTCCCAGACGGTTAGTAGATAACCTTTAACCTTTTTGGGGTAGTATAATCCCCTTATAATCCCAAAGGTTAACCTTGAATTCCCCCAGGTTACTGGACAACTAGGCCTTGAGATATCTCATACCTTCCTTTCGCTCATTAGGGTTAGGGTTTAGGATTTAGGGTCAGGGTTTAGGGTCCTATATCATAAGTTCAGGCCTTGAACACTAGACCCCCCCCCCAGGGCTTAGGGTTTCGGGTTTAGCTAGATTGGCTTTTGGGATCTTCGATATTTTCCTTATTTGGATTTACAGGCACCCGGTATTTGAATAGGTTCAAAGGCCAGCCCAGTTAGGGTTTACAAGGGCTTACTTTTAGGGTTTAGGCAAACCCTAATTCTTATAAACCCCAAACCGCTAAACCCTAAACCATAAACCGCTAAACCCTAAACCCTAAACCCTAAACCCCAAAACAAGTAAAATCACAACTGCCTTCCTCGAGGGCCTTTCGACGGAGTACTGTGGGGAAACTCGTGGATCGGGAAGTTGACATCTCTTCGCGTGTCCTGGCTGGGCAGCCATGGTACCGGGTCGGTTCGGGTTTAGGGTTTAGATGGGTTTAGGGTTTAGGGTTCAGGGTTTCGGGTTTAGGGTTCAGGGTTCAGGGTTTAGGGTTTGGGGTTTTAGGGTTTAGTTTTTTTCTTTAAATAAAGCCCGTCTAGACGAGAATGTACTTGGGATGTTCTCCCTTATAATTCTAACAGTCCTTAATAGGGATGATCGAACACCCCTATTGTAACCTCTATGAAGGACTGCTAGTATAAGGGGGAACATCCCAAACGTAAACTGCCCAACGTTTCTCTAAATCGAAGAAGCGTCCGATTCTAAGGGCTTAGGGTTTAGGGTTTAGGGTTAGGTTTAGTTCCCTCTGCAGGGTTACTAAACCCTCAACCCGAAACCCTTACGTATTGCAACGCAGCCCAGAGCAACCCCGAAGCTTAAACCCTAAGCACGAAAGGGGGTTGGGGTTTAGGGTTTAGGGTTTAGGGTTTCGGGTTTGGGGTTTAGGGTTTAGGGTTTAGGGTTTAGGGGCACGGGGGCTGGCGCCAGAGCACTTACGCCCCCATGGGCTCCAGGACGAAATGAGGGGTTCTGCGCAAAATTGTACTGGGCTTATATAGGGTTCAGGGGCTTAGGGTCAGGGTTTTAGGCTTTAGCGTTTACGGTTTAGGGTCTAGGGTTTAGGGTTTAGGGTTTAGGGCGTGTTGGCCTGCCTAATCCACGACTACCATACCCATAGTGCCGCGTCTCAGCGACAGCATGGGCCTGCATCCACCCTTGGTGACCACATGAACACTAACAGGGTTAGGGTTTAGGGTTTAGGGTTTAGGGTTTAGGGTTTAGGGTTTAGGGTTTAGGGTTTAGGGTTTAGGGTTTAGGGTTTAGGGTTTAGGGTTTTAGCATTTTAAGGTTTAGGGTTTAGGGGTTTAGCGTTTTAGGGTGTAGGGTTTAGGGTTTAGGGTTTAGGCTTCATATACCTCAATAGGAATGAAAGCAGCCTAGGGTGTGTGACCCCAATTTTAGGGTTCATCTGGTCCTGTTAAACTAGCAGGCTTGGGGTTGCCAAAAACTCCATTTTAACTTAAACCTAAGCCCCTGCATAAACCAATTGACTTGGTGGACTTCCAAGGTGCTCATCTTGCGGACCGTTTTCAGAGATGCCAAGCGTGCGAACAAAGACCGCCTTCCCGCGCCACTGCAGCGTTTCGACTTTCTCTTTCTCTTTGCCTGCTTTAGCCATGAGCTTTACAGTACCCTAAACTTCCATGTGCCTATATAGGACGCGTGACTTTTGAGGTAGTTCCGTTCCTGCATCGTGGCATATAAACGGACCCAAGTATATACGACAACAAAGGTGCATACAGCCTAAATCTCAAACTGCTGCCACCCCCGAAGTAGCAAGAAGATGTGCACCCCAGCTCCCTCCCCCCCACCGTTCTGTCAAGCCCTAATCCCTAACCCCTGGACTCTCCTGGATCATTCTTTTTGCAAAGCCTTTCACCAGTTGAGATTTGGGGGGTGTACGCAAATAGGGGACCTCTGATATACACCCACGAATAATCATATCATGGGTGCAGTTTCCCTACTCCCCACTTGAATACTACCCCACCAAGGTGCCCTCCTTAAATAACCTGAATTCGCCTTCATCATCCCAAAAAACCTTAATAGTGTGGAGAACCTGGGGGGGGGGGGGTAATTGGATCCCCTTTGTAACAAGGACCGTTGCTTCCCCTGGTGCATTCGCTACACAAGAAACCGTCTGCGTGGAAACTCACTGGACTTTTAGTCGGTTTCTAGGATGCCCAGTAGTACCCTTATTCCATTTTTTTTGGGGGGGGTTAGGTTCCCTTATAAGCCCCCTTTAAGCAAAAACGGGCACCTTTTTTTCAAGGCCGCGTGATCCCAAGTGAAGCAGCAGACGTAAGGCCACCATCGCCAACCTCCGCAATCTGGAGGTGCTCGATCTTACAGGCAACTTTGCTGCAAGCTGACGCAAGGGTTGAGGGTTTAGGTTAAGGGTCTTGACTTGAGCATGTGAAAATCTGCACCCACGCAAGAGCTTCCGCTCGCGATCCTGACGCCCCAAACCCTTGAACCCCTATTCCCTATAGTTTCGGGTGGTAGGTAGTTGCGGCTGCTTAGAGCCTGCCGAGTTGAATGTGGACCTTGGTTAGAAGACGCCGTGCCGTGCTAGCCAGGGCGCAGAGCTCTTACAGCTGCGTGAGTACCAAGCTTCGGTGGCATTTATAACAGTCGTCGGCCACTTGGGACTGCATGATGAAGAGTGCTCTTTACTTATAAGCACTTACAACTGGTGTGACTCTCTCACTCCAAGCGCGGCGCTAAGATATAGAGCACCCCCTCAGGTCCCAGAAGCCTTAGAAGCCTTCCCCCGAAAATATAGTATACCTTCACTACTATCATTTCCAGTCCCGGAATATGAACCATAAGCCCTTTTCAGGGTTCATTTGGTACCTACACTACTATCATTTCCAGTCCGGGAATAGGAGCCCTAAGCCCTTTTCAGGGTTCATATGGTACCTACACTACGATAATTCCTACTACGGCAATATGAACCAGAAGCACCCTTTTCAGGTTCATTTGAATCCCCAACCTTGAGGACCAAATGAACCCCATAATTGGGGTCATATACCCTATACTACTTTAACCCCTAAACCCTATACCCTAAACCCTATTATAGTCTATGAGCCATGAACCCTTTTAGGGCTCATGTCGTCCTTCAGCAAAGAAAATCCCCTAAGCTATCAACTTCTTGAGGCAATCGCGTCCGCATGCAGTTTCAGTCCCTCGTGGGCCACCTGGCTGATCTAGCTTGGAGGTTCATGGGTACTTATAAGCCATAAGTGCAGTTATAATTGGGTTAGAAGTACCCATGAGCTCCAAGAGCACTCAGAGTAGGGCCCTTATTCCCCTTTTTGTAGGGGTCAGGTTGCTGAATTTGTATAGGGCATGTAATCGTATAAGGGGTATAGAAGGGGTGCCCTACAGGGCCCATACTAATAGGGACCATGTAACCACCCTTAGACCCCTGCGGGCAAAGTGCCACAGGCATTTTTGCAGCCTCTGCCTGCAGGAAACCTTGGTGTTTTTGGGAGTTGTATTGGGTTGACAGTTTAGGGTCCCATGCGTGAGCGCTTCCGTGAAATCCTACGAATTATAACTGAAACCCTTGAAAGCCTAAACCCTGAAACCCACATTCCCCCAGACGACACCCCAAACCCCAAGCCCTGAGCCCTGACTCTCAACCCTGAACTTTACATGGAGCCCAACACACTTACATCTGTAAGGCCCTTACAGTAAGGGCTCCTTATTTTCGCTTCCTTATCTGTCCCCGGAAAGAAGTAAGTCTTGAAGTTTAGGGTTTTTGGGACCCTAAACCCTAAAACCCAAAAACCTAAACCCTAAAACCCAAAAACCTAAACCCTAAACCCTAAACCCTAAACCCTAAACCCTAAACCCTAAACCCTGCAATATGCCAAGGTTCACTTCCGAAGTTGAACCTGCGCGAGCTCCGGCTCAGTGGCAACCTGCTGACGCTCCGCTCACAGTACGCAAACCCCCTGAACCCTAAACCCTAAACCTTAAACCCTAAACCCTAAACCCTAAACCCTAAAACCTAAACCCTAAACCCTAAACCCTAACCCTTAACCCTAGAACCCTAAAACCCCGAACGAAAAAAACCCTAAACCTCGGGATGTCCTCCCTTATGCTATCAGTCCTTAATAGGGGTTCTAATCGGGGTACGATAATCCTTAGGTACTGTTAGTATAAGGGGGAACATCCCAACCCTAAATCCCGAAACCCCGAGCCTTAAACCGTAAACCCTCAAGCCCCTGCAAACTTGAAATTATGCAGAGGCAAAAAACAGAAACTTTCCTCGAAGCTCCATGAGACGTCCCCGGACCTGAACCCTTAAACATTTCAATATACCCCTAAACCCTAAACCCAACCCTAGACGAAAACGTGGAAATCCCCCACGACCCACTAGTGGAAATCCCCCACCACCTACTAGTGGAAATCCCCCATTTCCCACTAGCGGAGCTTTTACGAGAAATCAAGCTTCAACGTTTGCAGGGCCTAGGAGTTAGGTGGGAATGTCAGGAAACTCGGACCTAGACAGGACCCTTATTCCTTCCTTAATTGGGTTGACTTCCCCTATGAGCTATATTGACTCCTAAACCCTAAACCGTCAACCTTTTTCATGCCTGAGTTTGTTTGGGACCTAGTTTGAAGATCACAACATGGCAGGCTCTTTTGAATTGGGTTTGGTGTTTTGGTGTCACGATACTGGGGTTTTTCAGGGCGTCTATGAAAGACTTGCCAAGGCTTCCGGGTTTTCGAACCTCTTGGGATTTTGCGGGAAAAGGCCTTGAGACCTTTAAGCCCCAAACACTAAACCCTAAACCCTAAACCCTAAACCCTAAACCCTAAACCCTATAAACACTAAAACATTTCCATGGTCTTCCAGCTTCAGGTCTCTTGTGGTTTTGATGGCTCCAAGCCCGTCCTTCCCTCATAGGAAGCACACACCTGGGACCCAAGCACCCAAAGCCTTACTGCTGGTTAGAAGGGAATGGGGGAATGAGGTGCCCTATATAATCCCTTAAAGGGTGTATATATATATATATATATGCCAATATATATATATATATGTAGATAGGGCCCTAATTTTGTCTCCTTCCCTGCTAACAAACAGTAAGAAGCCCGAAGCCTTCTTTCCCTACCTTCAGGGTCTAGGCTTTAGAGCTTAGGGTTGAGAAAGGTGTTCAGCGTTGAGGGTTTAGGGGCACCCTTTCAAGGCCCCTGAAGAGTACCTTGGTGAGAGTTGTCTGGTTTTCTGGGTATCCTAAACCCGAAACCCTAACACCCGAACCCTTAACCCTAAACCCTAAACCCTAAACCCTAAACCCTAAACCCTAAACCCTAAACCCTAAACCCTAAGCCCCACTTCAGACTATAGGCCAGCAGGGCCTCTGTACACTTTGCTTTAACGCGTTCTGGCACCCACCTGGTCCAACACCGCCGCACCAAGCTGTCAACCCCCCAAACCCTTGAAACCCTAATGATAGGGTTTAGGGTTTAGGGTTTAGAGTTTAGGGTTTAGGGTTTAGGGTTTAGGGTTCTTAAGGGACCTCAGAAACGCGACGAGCAAAGCCCAAGATCCGAAGCCACAGACATTGGCAAAACCTTTGGCCCCAAGTCCTCAAAAGACATGCAGACGTTTAGGGTTTTGGGTGGAGGGTTTGGGTCAGAGGTTTGAGGTGTAGGTTTAGGGTTTTGGGTGGAGGGTTTGGGTTAGAGGTTTGAGGTGTAGGTTTAGTTTTTTTCGCTGCAGGCGGTCGAAGGTTTGTTGGGCCTCCCCCTTACACCCCACCATCCCAAAAACCAAATATCCAGACTCCAAAAGGGTTTAGGGTTTAGGGTTTAGATTTCAGAGTTTAGACCCCAAGACCCTAAAACCTTCCTCAAGATTTAACCCTGGCAGAACTCAAACACAAGCAAGCAAAACCTTCCCAGGGAAGGTTCCATCGGCAAGGAAGTCAGCGACCTTCCCAATCTTGAGGCTCCCGGGAACTTGGAGGTTACACCTTGGCCCCTGAGGGCTTGGGTTTCAGGGTTTAGCATTTAAGGCTTTCAGGGTGAGCACCGCGGGCGCAAGTTGTTCTCGTTGAAGGACATCAAAGACCACACCGCCGTGGCTACCATCAAGACGCTCATCGAGCACCGCATAAACAAGCGCAACGGTCAGTTTATCATCAGTCACCACATGTTTGTGTTGCAGATTGGTGGAAAAAAGCTTGACAACGACGGCTTTATCAGGGACTACATGGAGGACGACCAAAAGGAGGTTCATGTGTCCATGGTGCTTCGTTTGCAAGGCGGTGGCGGATGGGGCGTTCGTCAGCACCATACCAAGCAAGAAGCAATCCTCAAGTTCAAGGAGAAGGTGCTTAAATTTATGCCAGAGAACACCGAGATTCAGGACTTAGGATTTAGGTAGGGTTTAGGATTTAGGGTTTAGGGTTTAGGGTCTGAAGCCACAGGGAATTGAGGCCCCTAGGCTAAGCCCGGCATGCGTGAAACCCACAAACCCTCAAAGCTCAGAGTTTAAGAGCTCGGGCCCTAGCACCTTTTTGGGGTTTAGGGTTTAGAGTGGAGTGTAGGGTTTAGGTTTTTGTTGTTGTGGAGCTTCATGTCGCTCCGCGCAAAATCCTTGAACAACTCATGAATCAAGTCAGAAAAGGCACGCGAAACCACACTAAGATGCCCTAAACTACACTAACACACATACACCCTTGCGTGTTCCCTTTTCCGCCCGGATTTTTTGCCCCCAGCAAAAGAGAACCTCGTGTGGAAAATGCCTTGCTTGGACAAGCCCTCGGAACCCAGATCCTATACCCCCTCTGAGCCCTATAGCCCCAGGCCGTACAATCCACTTATAAAGGTATGACTGGGTGTAGGTACAACCCGCTGAGAAGCCCCGTATTCTCCTAGCACGGATATAAGAGTGTAATAGGCGCATCTATATTTGTGCTAAGAAGTACCCGTGAACACTAAACCCCTATAGGGAAATCCTAACCCCCAAAACCCTGAACCCATGAATCCTAAAGCCTGCCAGAAAGTAGGAGGGGAGAACCCTAGGGTAGTTGCATGGTCCCTTCACGCGGACCCTTACTTGGGGAACCCTTGTATATCCTTTGCATACCCTATAACACCCAAGGGCCCCTACGTCAGAACCCTTACGGTTTAGGGTTTTGGGTTCAGGGTTTAGGACTTAGAACTTAGGGTTCAGGGTTAGGGTTTAGGACTTAGGGTTGAGGGTTTAGGGTTTAAGGTCAGGGACCAGATTGAGGGGACCATGGTTCCCTCACTTTGAGGTTCGTGGTGCTTATTAACCAATGATAACTCTAGTTATAACCCGCTTTGTCGCCCCTTAAGTGCCTCAATATGCTGATAAGTACAGTTAAAAGTGCAGTTATAAGTGCCATGAACCTCCGAGTAGAAAGAGCCCTCACCCTAAACCCTAAACCCTAAACCGAAAGCCCGGCCTGCAAGCTGCCACCCTGGGCAGGTCTTAGCCCTGGATGGGCGGCTCGGCTCAGAATCGTGCACGCCTCTCGCTCCCCTTCTGTTGAAGTTGGGCTTGGGGTTTAGGGTTTAGGGTTTAGGGTTTAGGGTTTAGGGTTTAGGGTTTAGGGTTTAGGGTTTAGGGTTTAGGGTTTAGGGTTTAGGGTTTAGGGTTTAGGGTTTAGGGTTTAGGGTTTAGGGTTTAGGGTTTAGGGTTTAGGTTTAAGGGTTTAGGGTTTAGGGTTTAGGGTTTAGGGTTTAGGGTTTAGGGTTTAGGGTTTAGGGTTTAGGGTTTAGGGTTTAGGGTTTAGGGTTTAGGGTTTAGGGTTTAGGGTTTAGGGTTTAGGGTTTAGGGTTTAGGTTTTAGGTTTTAGGGTTTAGGGTTTAGGGCTGCCGAATGTTTCTGGGCCTTCGGGTGGCTTCAGCCGTTCAGGCACTTTAAGCGTGAGGCGTTGGAGGCTTTTGGAGCCCCACACGTTTGTTGAAGCCACCCGCAACCTGCTACACAAAACTTGCAACCCGAAAGTCTGCACGTTTATCCCTACACCTGAAACCCTAAACCCTAGAACCCCTCAAACCCCTAACGCCCCTAAAACCTCTAAAACCCTTAAAAACCCCAAAGCCCGAACCCCTGATGTCTCTCAGGAATATGTTGGAGTCCAAGCTGCCGGGAGAACTGGCGCAGCTTTCGCGGCTTCAAGAGCCACTTCGATGAAGCATCGCTTCCTTGGGGTCGAAATGAACCCCAGAAGGGTGAAGGGTTTCGGGTCTAGGGTTTCTAGGTTTTGAGCGTTTAGGGTTCTTAGGGTTCTTAGGGTTTAGGGTTTTTGGGGTTTAGAGTTTAGGCTTTAGTAGTTAGTACAGGGTATATCCCAATTTGGGGTTCATTTGGTCTCCCAGGTCTTTCTATGGCCCCGGCTTAGGGGTTTTTAGGGTTTCGGGGTTTATGGCTCAGGGTTGAGGTGTTTCGGGCTTAGGATGGGCGCAGGGTTTCTGCAGTTCCCGAGAAGCACACCTGGAACTCCAAAGTATTTATAAGAATTGCCCATCGCGAGTGTGGTTGGGGGGGGGGGGGAGGGGGGTTAGGGTTTAAGTTTAGGGGTACCGTTGGAGAGGGGGGGCGGGGGGCATGCACGCGCGCCTCCGATCAGGCACCCCCCCCGCCCCTCCACCCCCCCACTCACCGTGGTGTGGTCGGGTTTTGGTTTGGGAGGGTTAGGGTTTAGGGTTCGGGGGGCAGGGGGTTTAGGGATTAGGGATGTGAAATATACATAGGTATGTCATACGGTATGTATATGTTTGCATATCTCCACATACATCTCAATTAAGGGTCCCTCCTTTCGTGCATAAAACAGTACGCATCGAGGGCTTCTGCGCTACCACGGAGCTAACAGGACGACGACGACATGGCTGGAAACATGCCTCCGTCGTGAAACACCTGAATCTTGCCTGGTGAGTTTACCTTCAAGAACCCCAAACCCTAAGCCCCTGAACGCCACAGCCATTCAGCCATTGCATCTATTCAAGTCCTACACCCCAGTTCCTTAACTCCATTCAAACCCAAAACCCTAGACCCTAAACAAGTCCTATACCCCCGTTCCTAAACCCTAAACCCTCAGTGCCTATGGACTCCGACATTTTGGACAGTAAGTCCCAGGAAGTCCGGGGTTTTAGGATGATTGGGTTTAGGGTTTCGGGTTCAGGGTTTAGGGATTAGGGTTTAGGATTTAGGAAGTAGGGTGCCACCCTGCAGAAGGTTGGATCTCCGCAACAACCGTTTCGAGGGGAAGGTCCCGAGAGGTCTCCGATCCTCGGCGGTTTTGAGGTTTAGGGTTTAGGGTTTAGGGCTTAGGGTTTATAGGGTTTAGGGTACCTTCGGATTGGGGGTTTAGGATTTCGTGGTTTAGGGGTTTAGGGTCTAGGAGTCTGTATATAGGGTTTAGGGTTGTGGGGTTTGGGAGCTTAGGGTCTGGGAGTTGGCGTTTACGTTTTATCCAAAAAAACACTTCAACATTTCTCATAAAAAAGGATTCCATAAGGAAGGATTTTGCAATGCCCCTAAATTTCTTGTGAGGGGTATGCCCAAGGGGTATGCTGTATTTCTTAGCGTTTAGGAGTGTTGGGGGATTGGTTTTCCGGGTTTAGGGTTTCGGTTCGGCATGCAAGGTCCAGGCAGAGCCCCAACTACCGTTCTTACTACTGACATATTGTTGGAGTTGGAGGGGTTTCAGAGCGGGGTTGTGGCTTTAAACCCTAAACCCTAAACCCTAAACCCTAGACCCTAGACCCTAGACCCTAGACCCTAGACCCTAGAATTTAGACCCAACCCCCCCCGCCCCCCCTCCCAACAAAAAAAAAAAACAGAAACACAACAAAAACAAAAACAAACCGGGGTTCATGCCGACCCTTGCGCCAAGGACAGCTGAAACTCACGCGGCTGGCTTTGGGCTGCCTGCCTGAACCCCTTCTCTGGGGCTCTTACGGGAGGGGGGTGTAGGGTTTGGGGTTTGGGGTTTAGGGTTTGGGGTTTCGGGTTTAGGGTTTAGGTTTTAGGTTCAAGGGGGTTATGTAACCCAAGGTTCCCTAACACACCCCATTGCTCCCTAAGGCACCCTAGGCTTCCCTCAGGTCTTTTGGGTACCCACGTCCCTTGAACCGCCCTCGCTTAATAACTCTAGGCAGCCCAGTGGTGCGCTTTGCCCTTTTGCTGGCTCCCGGTTGAGGGTTTTTGGGCCTATAGGGTTTAGGGTTTGGGGTTTAGGGTTTGTGGTTTCGGGTTCCCTGATAAAGTAACCAGCCAGAAAAAGGGTACCCTGATGTTAGAGCGTTCACTGGGCTACACAGCTGTATGTCCACTGGGCTACTTGGGTCCCTTACTAGCTTCCTCATTCTTGTATACTTGGGCCCCAAAGTCCCTATAGGAAGTACTTTAAGGCCCCCCTAAACCCTAAACCCTAAACCCTAAACCCTAAACCCTAAACCCTAAACCCTAAACCCTAAACCCTAAACCCTAAACCCTAAACCCTAAACCCTATCTAGGTACACCGACTTTAGGCCTACGCACGCCTTAACTTCGCCGACCTCAAGAACCTCCGAGCCTCAATTGTTTGCAGGTTGCCTAGGCTTAGGGTTTAGGGTTTAGGGTTTAGGGTTTAGGGTTTAGGGTTTAGGGTTTAGGGTTTAGGGTTTAGGGTTTAGGGTTTAGGGTTTAGGGTTTAGGGTTTAGGGTTTAGGGTTTATACGAATCCTGCATAAGAGGTTGCATATTCCCGGCAACCTACGAGAAGCAATAAAGCATAGCAAAAACAGTAGGTTTCCCCACCCTGGCACTTAAGGTACTGTTCATGCTGGTACTTGAGGATTTAGGGTTTAGGATTTAGGGTTTAGGGTTTAGGGGCCCTTCATCACCGAGCGCCCCTGGTCAGCTCTTGGTACGGTGGGCCCCCTTTTTGGATTTAGGGTTTAGGGTTTAGGGGATAGGGTGTAGGGTTTAGGGTTTAGGGAAAGAAGGGGTGCCGCAGTATCACATGGACCCAAATTGCGAGGCAACAATCAGTTCACGAAACCGATCCAGTCAAAGAACTGCGCGCCTGTGGAGGAGGAACGGGTTTCAGGCTGAAACCCTAAACCCCAAACCCTAAACCCTAAACCCTTTACCCTTTAATCCCTAAACCCTAAACCCCAACACATTACTTGCAGGGGCCCCCCCCCTTTATTGGTTTTCAGTACGGGGACCAGCCTTGATAGTCGGACACGTAACCCTCGTTGGGGGGCCTCTATGGCCCTACTTGCAACTTGGGGGCCCCTACTTGTAGGATCTATTCAGTGCGGTGTGGAGGGTTGCAGGCTTTGGTCTTTTTAAGGTGTGTTCTGGGATGTTCCCCCTTATCCTATCTGTCCTTAATAAGGATTATAGTAGGGCGTACCAGAATCCCTAATGAGGACTGGTAGTATAAGAGGGGACATCCCAATCCTAAACCCTAAACCCCAAAACCTAAAACCCTAAATCCTAAACCCTAAACCCTCAACCATGCAAAGTAATAGTCGGCGCGGCTCAAGCCGCCATGATGTGAGGGTGTGGGGTTTGGGGTGTAAGGTGAGACAGTCTTTGGGGCACCTCTTGGAGGGTTTAGGGTTTAGGGTTTCGGGTTTCGGGTTTTGGGGTTTTAGGGTTTTGGGTTTGGGGTTTAGGGTGTACGTAGGGGTTTAGGGGGTTGAAGGTTTTTTGGGGTTTAGGTTTTGGGGGCCTCTTGTGATTCTCGCAGGCTTTGGAGGAGTATGAACTGGCCCAATTCTTGGGGCGCAACGCGAAGTTTTGATCAAGTATTGTATAATTCTACCGACCCTAAGCATACACCCCAAAATCAAAGCCCTACGTTTTAAGCCCTAAACCCTAAACCTCAAACCAAGTTCTAAACCCTAAGCCCTAAACCCTAAACTCTTTTAGGGCCATGTGGTTCAATCAAGGGCGTTTGATGACTTCGGGCGCTGGGCTCAGGTCTACTAAACCCAAAACAGCTGGCTTAGAGTTGAGGGTTTAGGGCTCGGAGTGGGCCCTTATTTCCCCTTCTTTTTGGGGTTTAGGTTCCCTTACAAGCCCCTTGAAACCAAAAAAAAAAGGGTAGCCTTTCTATTCCTAGGTTACTCTTGGGTCTGGAGCCCTCTAAACCTTAAACCCTATATCCTAACCCTTTCTGGGAGTTTACGAAAATCAGGCCCCCCTAGTATAGACCCCCAAATAGCAGGATTCTCTTGGAATAAGGACCCCAAGAAGGTACCCCTGATTTGGGAAACCTCCATTCCCGAAACCCTAGACCCTAGATCGTAAACCTTAAACCCTAAACCCTAAACCCTATGAATCCCTAGACCCTGTGAATCCCTAAACCCTATGAATCCCTAAACCCTATGAATCCCTAAACCCTATATCCACAACCCTATGCGAGGATCCGTGCGAGCTCTTCAGACTCCAAGGCAGTGCGGCTACAGGGAGCTAGTCGGAGGGACCTCTAACCGTATGGGTTTAGGGTTTAGGGTTTTGGGTTTTGGGTTTAGGGTTTAGGGTTTGGGGTTGAGGGTTGGGATTTAGGGTTTAGGGTTCAGGGTTTCGGGTTTAGGGTTTAGGGTTTAGGGACCAGATGAACCTTAAAAATTGGGGTCATGTACCCTTTGCTGCTTTTCATCCCAGTAACCCTTTTTAGGGGCTCACTTTGTCTGCAAGGTCTTTTAACGGCGTTGGGGTTCAGGAGGTACGCTTATTGATACTCAGGCTAGCGAGGCTTCTGGCAGATTTTGTGCGTTCGCTGCTCCCACACAAGTTGGCCCAGCGACTGCGTGTGTTCTTTCTGTGCTGCCGGACACTCGTTGCAGCACGGATCTCAACAGCCGCTTTGCAGGGACTAGGGTTTAGCGCTGAAGAGCATCTTATTTAGGGACCATGTCTCTGAGGGTCTTTAACCCTTAAGCCTTCACCCCCAAGACCTGATCATGTTCAGGTTTTCAGAAATCCTGACCCTGACTCCTTCTACTGTACCCAATACTTGCCCCTTGCTTGTACCTCATTAGGTCCTCCTGTACCTAACCCTAAACCCTAAACCCTGACTGTTTGTGTTTTGCTTTAACCCTGCAGGGCAAGCACAAGCATACCCCATGCTTGTGGTTGGTTGTCACTTATTTGGAGATCTGAAGGTTTAGGGTTTACGGTTTAGGGGTTTAGGGTTCAGGGTTTAGGGGTTAAGGGTTTTGGGTTAGTATGGGTTTAGGGCCTAGGGTTTGTGTTGTGTATGACCGTATTAGGGTCTGCAGGTTGGGGTGTTCCCCTTATTGGGGATTATAACAAGGCGTACTATAATCGCCTATTTAAGGACTGTGAGTATAAGGGGGAACATCCCAATCTGTAGGTCTTTCCCTAAGCAGCCTCACACCGGCTAAGCCTTAAGGAAAAGGGGGGGGGGGGGGGGGAGTGTAAAGGAGGCGTGTGGGTTTTAGAGCTTAGGGTCGACGGTTTAGGGTTTTTAGGGCCCATTAAGCCCCCCACCCCCCCCAAGTAGTGCCCTTCACGAGCCCAATTCAGCCCCCAACAATATATATATATATATATATATATACACATATAAATATACATATATATATATATATAGGGCCTAGGGTTTTGGGTTTAGAGTTTAGAGTTTAGAGTTTAGGGCCTCAGACCACGCTGGCTCCTTTGGAATGCCCCTTTGGGCGGTTCCTGACGTTCGGGTTTGTGTTTCTTTCTCAGTGTAAGTAAAGTTTGGTCTAGGGTTCCAATTTGTGATGTTCCCCCTTATACTAGCAGTCCTTAATTTTAGTGTTCGGGGTTTAGGGTTTAGGGTTTAGGGTATAGGGATTATCGGAATTAATTAGGGGCTGGTTAGGGTATAGGTTTAGGGTTTAGGGTTTAGGGTTCAGGGTATAGGAATTAATTAGGGGGTACTAGAGGGACTGTTGGTAAAAAGGGGGATCATCCCAAGTTCCGATCTTCATCAGCCCACACCCTACTCGGAGTCTGGCTGAGGGTTTAGGGTTTAGGGTTTAGGGTTTAGGGTTTAGGGTTTGGGGTTTGGGGTTTGGGGTTTGGGGTTTGGGGTTTGGGGTTAAGGGTTTAGGGTTTTAAGGACTTTACAAGGGTTAAAGTTCAGCCGGAAACCCCTGGCGCAAGGTTTAAGGCTCAACGGGTTAGGTGTTTCTGGTTTTGGGGGGCTTACGCCTCAAGGGTCTAAACCCTAAACCCTAAACCCTAAACCCTAAACCCTAAACCCTAAACCCTAAACGTTTTTTATCTGCAGACCTGGATCGTGGTGACGTCAACGTCTGGCCGTTCATCCTTGTGGCCTCCTTGTTGCTCTCCGGCCTCTTCTACAAGGACCGAACCTGCCAAGGTTCCTTGGACGGCACTTGGGCACAGGCTTCAGAGGGCCGGCTTCGGGTTTAGGGTTTAGGGTTTGGGGTTTAGGGTGTAGGGTGTAGGGGTTAGGGTTTAGGGTTTTGGGCTTTCTAGGTTACTGAACGAATGAGGAATTTTGACATCCTGAGTCGTCGCTCGAAGGAGCCTAAGTGCACTAAGCCCCGGAACACGAAAACCCTGAGCTGTACAACCCAACGCCCTCAACCCTGTTTAGGGTTTAGGCTTTAGGGTATCGGGTTTAGGCGTTCGTCTTTAGGGTTTAGGGTGTAGGGTTTAGGGTTTAGGGTTTAGGGCTCGGGGCTTCTGTGCGCTGACGTTGAACTGGGTCTCTCTTGCAGCCTAGACCCGATCCCAGATTCTCCAAAAGGGCCCTGTAAACCCAGAAGTTTAGGGTTTAGGGTTCAGGGTTTAGGGTTTAGTGTTTAGGGTTTAGGGTTTAGGGACCTTACTTCCCGAAACCCGAAACGTGCCTACTTGGATGTTCATGGGTAGTTATAAATGGGGTTATAAGTATGGCAAGTGTGTTTCTAGTAAGGCTCATAGCCCTCTGTAGGGTACTTATAACCATACTTATAACTACCCATGATCCTCCCAGTGGACTCTAAGGTGCCCGTTGTAAAACCCTAAACCCGAAAACCTAAGCCCTAAACCCTAAACGGCAAGAGTCATGGCCCACCCTGGCCGAGGCTTCAGCGTGCGCCCAGGCCCAGCTTGGTTGGACGGATTAGGGTCTAGGGTTTAGGGTTTAGGGTTTAGGTTTCAGGGTTTGTAGGGGTGTAGGGCCCTATGTAAGCCTGAACCTAGGTCCTAAACCCTGTAGATACACCGCATATAGCTCACAAGAGCCCTGATGAAATTTAGTCACGCTCGGCGAGAAGGCGTACAATAATGGATATAGTTATTTTGTGTACTCTTCTTGTCATGACAAATCGTTGTATACGGTTTTACGGCGGCAGGACGCTCAAAGTTTGTTCCCTTCCATTGCCCCATGTAGTACCCGGAGGGTTCTGAGCTTGGGTGCTCTAGTTTCTTTATCGGTTCCCTAAATCTTAAAAACTTTAAACCCTAAACCGCTCTACCACTAGGCCAAATCCCCACTTTGGGGGTTTCGCAGCCCGCTGCGAGACCGAAAATGTGGCGTCTTCTCATCTCTTGCCCCAACCATGTGTGGTTTAGGGTTTAGGGTTTCGGGCGTGCAGCTAAGAACTTGGCTTCATCGTCGGGACACAGGGTCTAAACCCTCCAAACCCTAAACGCTCAAAAGGCTCTAAGCCCAAAACGCCCTACACTGGAGGGCCTCCCCTACTATTTGCTTAAGAACTCCCTCCCCAAAAGTAAACGAAATCATCGCCGTATTACCCTTACCTGTAGGCCTTCATGGACCACCTAATGCCCTAGAGCTCGCAAACCCTGAAACCCTAGCAAGCTCTAACGCCCTTCCCTCAACCCTAAACCCTAAACCCTATGTAAACCCTAAACCCTAAACCCCTAAACCCCTAAACCCCTAAACCCCTAAACCCCTAAACCCCTAAACCCCTAAACCCCTAAACCCTAAACCCTAAACCGTATGGAACCGGCATTTTGGATCTCTGAAGATCCTAAGCCTTTCAGGCCGAAAAAGAACCTCAACCCCTATGCCTTGGTGGGATGTTCCCCCCTCATACTAGCAGTCCTGAATAGGGAGGATAGTACCCCCAATTAACATCCCCTAAACCCTAAACCCTAAACCCTAAACCCTAAACCCTAAACCCTAAACCCTAAATCCTAAATCCTAAATCCTGAAACCTAACCCTAAACCCTAAACCCCAAACCAGGCGCGCTGGAACTCGCTGCTTGGAGCAGCGATGGAGAGGAATGGGAGGGCAGGCCCGGCCTGACCCCTAAAGCCCCAAACGGTTAAGGTTTAGGTTCTAGGGTTTAGGGTTTAGGGTTTAGGTTTTAGGGTTTGGGTTTAGAGTTTAGTGTTTAGGGTCTAGGGGTTCAGGTATCTTGCCGTGAAACCCACCAATAACTCGCCCCAAGAAATCCCAAAGGCACAGTGTGTGCTCTGGGTACTTTAGGAGCTCCTTGTAGGGTCGAACAGGTAAGGGCGGTAAGGGTTCGTGTAGGGTTGCAACAAAAGCTATAGCTTTAATTGGGCCTCAAACGCTGGCCTCTAAACCGTAAACCCAAAGAAAAAACAAGGGTCCAACCCTAAACCCTAAACCCTAAACCCTAAACCCTAAACCCTAAACCCTAAACCCTAAACCCTGAACCCTGAACCCTAAACCCTAAACCCTAAACTCTAAACTTAAACCCTAAACCCTAAACCCTAAACCCTAAGCCCGCACCCGTCTCGGCTTGGAGGAGGAAGTTCCGCAACTGCTGGGCCGTCCTGGAGGCTGTGGCCTAATGCTTCATGGTTTAGGGGCTGGGATGTTCTCCCTTATGCTAGGGTTTAGTGTTTAGGGTTTAGGGTTTAGGGTGTTTCGGGTTTAGGGTTTAGGGTTTAGGGTTCAGGTTTTGGGGTAACAGGGATTATAGTGCCCCTCCCCGACTAGAATTCCCTATTAGTTGCTGTCAGCAGAAGGGGGAACATCCCAAGTTTTGGGTTCGTTTTAGGGTTCGGGGTTGGGGTATGTACTCGTGCGGTTGAGGGTATTCAGGGTTCAGGGTTTGGGGTCCAGGGGTTTTATTTGTGGTGTAGGGCTTAGTTGAGGGTGTTCAGGGTTTGGGGTTTTTGGGTTTGCTCCGTGCTTCATAGGGCTTTGGGGTATTTAGGGTGCAGGGTATTTGGAGACCCTATCTCAAGTTCGGACTGTTAGTACAAGAGGGAACATCCCAACCTAAACCCCAAACCCTAGACCCTAAACCCTAGACCCTGCACCCTAAACCCTAATCTAAGTCCTACGTCCGGCCAAGGTGTGCGAGCTCTGCTTTGTCATCGCTATGCCGTTGGCGCCGTTGCCGCTTTCGTTTCCGCTGCCCCTTGCCAAATCAGTGCCCACGCGGAATTGTTAGGCGGGTTAGGGTTTAAGGTTTAGGGTTTAGGGTTTAGTGTTTAGGGGTTGTATATTGATTCACCTTCACTGTGGTTTAGGACGATTGTATGTCCCCACACCCTCAACTCCGACGCCCCGAACATAGTGTTTGGGTTTAGGTATCTGGGCTGAAAATGGCGCGTTGGCTCTAATGTAACAGTCAACACACACACACACAATATATAAGGCCTTCAGCAGCCTTGCGTGATCATGTGTGGCCCTAAACCCTGGACCCTAGACCGTAAACCCTGTATCCTACAGCCCTCTTGCAACCCGAAAAGCCCGAAAGTCTATTTGACCCTAAGGGTCTATGTACCTCATTATTACATTCTCGGGCCCCAAAGGCCCTATGCAGGAGGTACGTTAAGGCCCAAGTCCTCCTTATTTAGGTACATGGACCCTTAGGGTGAACCCTGAAAGCATCCATGGTCGCAAAAATGAGAGCATCATTGAGATGAAGCTTAACATAGGTTTAGGGTCTTTTTTATTATTAATGTTTATTAGGGTTTAATAGGGTTTAGGGGTTAGGGTTCAGGGTTCAGGGTTCAGGGTTTAGGGTTTAGGGTTTAGGTGGTATGAACCCTCAAAGCACTCCAAGGTGCACGTTTCTCACGGCTCGCCCTATCTCAATAGTGCCGCAACATGACCCGACAGGTGCTACTTGAAAGCCAACATTCACCCCAATTAAGCCCTAAACCCTAAGCCCTAATCCCTAGACACTTTAAGTCTCGTTTCCTCCTTGCGTACCATGCGTGCAGTTCTCAATGATGAGGGCGCAGTTCCTCTTCTTCACGGGTATATAATATATAGGTTTGTCTAGATAGCCCGAAACCCTAAACCCTAAACCCTAAACCCTAAACCACAAGATAGCCCTAAATTGCAGGCTGAGTCAGATCGCGCTGTTGACGCTTGTTCTCTTCAAGCTGGCGCTTTTCAGATTGCACCGCAAGGAGAGGCTTTCGTACATTGTGGCGTTTAAGGGGTTAATGGGGTTAAGGGTTTAGGGTTTAGGGTTTTGGGAAGGTTCACGTGAGGGCTGCTGGAATTCATGGTGCCTCTTGGGTGACGGGGCTCTCTGGATTTGGAGACGCAGCAGTGGCAGGGACCCCTACTTAGAGAGAACTGCACCTGCAGGGCGTTCAGGGTTTTGGGGGAGCAATGCCCTAAATCCTTTAAACCTTATAAACCCCAAACCTAGAACCTAGAACCTAGACCCTGAACCAGCCAATTGCAGCCCCGCCAAATGTTCTCCAAAAGGGAAAAGGCGCGGTCTGCACTAACAAGAGCCTTCGAACTACCCAATTGCTTTGTTGTGGCCCCCAAGTGCTTGTTGCTGAAGGGCCCTTGGGACATCTTTGTATTTTCCCTGAGTAGGTTTAAGAGGATCATATCTAGGAATGTCTTTTTCCGAGGGTTTTTGGTTTTGTTTATTTTTCCCTTGGTTTAAGGTCCGTCGGTCCGTCACGAAGCGTAGGATATGAGTGCATGTATTTGCGTCTGGGGAGGGGAGATTTGGTTTGATCTAAGGTCCTCTTTAGGGGTTTAGATTCAGATAGGGCACTACAGGGTTTCATGAGAACAGGTATGTAAATCAGCGACTGTGCGTAAAAGCTCCCACTTCACATCGGCAGCATATGGTTTGGGGTTTATGCTGCCTCTCTCAGATGTGTTGCGCATGGCACGAACAGGCGGGGGGGCTGGGGGCCCAGGATGGTTGAGGGTATTGAAGGTTTAGAGTTGAGGGTTGTCGGCAAACCAGAAGGGACATGACGTATGATCCGGAAACTTACATAGCACACGTCCGACACGCCCCACCCCCAAGAGGGCATCCTGGCTGGGTGCCGCCATGCAGCCGTGTCCCGCTTTTCTTGCAGCTGCCATGTCTGTTGTCTCCAAGGAATTGGGCGAGCAAGCAGGCCATGCCCAGTTGATGGATAGCGGCATCTTTAGTGGGGAGTTTCAGCCCTTGCGTGACCTTGCCGGCTTTACTGAGCAGGCCGTCATGAGCCAACTGCCAGCACTGAGGCAACTGGCTCATGACGCGGAGCGTCTGCAGCACCTGAGCACCTGGCTCCGTGCCAGTGTGCTGAAGCCTTTGCTGTGTTTGCTGCTTACATCGGTCTACAACCGCCAAAGCAGCGAGGCGCAGCAGCTGGCCGAGCAATGGGAGAGATCTGGGCATCCTTTCCACGCAAGTCTTCTCGAAATAGAGCACATGCGCGCTGCGTCCATGCCCACCTCCCTGCCAGCGCACTTGGCAGATGGGCGCAGGCTCCTGCGTGTCAAAAGAACCGGGCTTCCAGACCGGGCTCGCGCGCCCGCCTCCCCGGTGTCCTCGGGGCCCCCGGGGCTTTCGGAGGGGAGCCCGAGCAATCCTAGCAATCCTGGTCCTAGTTCGAGCTCCGTTCCTTCTGCCTCGGCGCCTTCCACGCGCCGCATCGTCAGGGTGAAGAGGACGGGAGCAGGTGGCAGCGTCAGCTCCACCCCAAGTTCGGGGCACAACCCTTCCCAGGGACCTGCGCTGCAAATGGGTCAGGCACCTGAAGCTTTGGCAGCCAACGATGACAACCTGAAGTTCGAGCAAATATCCGTTGGCTCCTTTGAGGAACATCGCTGGAACTACTATGTCACCGGGCGTGGGTATCCTGTCTCCAGTTCGAAGCCGCAGACTGCTAAGGTGCACGACCATGCTGCGAGAATGGCCAAGGAGGGGGAGCGCATCAAGCAACTGCTGGCAGAACAGGGGTGGGCGCTGCAACTCGTTGATGCCGCAAAAAAGTCCTGGCTCCAAACGCTGCTGGCAGTTCAGAGGCCGGCTGAGCTAGGCAAAGGCCGTGACTCTCTTTCTTATGGTTACAAGTACAAGAAGTTGAGCATTCTGTATGCTTGGGAAATCCTAGCGCCAGCGCGACGCAAGGCGTTCTTGCTTCAAAAGCAGGAGGTCTTGGAACGCGACATGGCGAGAGCAAAGAAGCATAACATGTCCATTGTGCCTGTGAAAAGCAAGCTGAACAAGCTTTCAGCGGGGTCAAAAGAGATGATGACTCATGAAGGCTGGTTCCTACATGCGACAAAGCCTGAGACGGTCCTGCCCATATTGTCAAACGGACTAAGCGAGCGCATGTGCGGCGGAGCCTTCGGCAAGGGCGTGTACTTGGCCGAGGACCCAGAGAAAGCCGATCAGTATGCCACACCAGACGCCAAGTACTGTGCCGATGGCCTGAAGGACTTGCATGCACGTCTCTATCGACAGGGAAGTGGCACTAGGCATCCTGGTTCCGATGTTTTCTACATGTTCGTGGTTCGGGCAGCAGCTGGCATTGCTGTTCGAACAAAGGACGGCGAAGTGGACCTCGACAGACCTGGTCGGCAGGTATTCGCTTCCAGCGACCGAAGGGAGCTTTGTGAGGTGCCCGACATCACGCCACCCCTTCGCTTTCATTCACTTGTGGTGGAGCTGGGAGGGAAAATCAGCCGTTTCCGTGAGTTTGTGCATTTCCATTCGGATCGCTTCTGCGTCGAGTACCTGATAGCGTACCAGCGCAGCTCATGAGGACAAAGGGGGCGCAAGCAACTCCATGCACATACATGCATATATATATATATATATATATTTATTTATTTATTTATTTATGTATATATATATAATTTTGTAAAAAATTTATATTTATATTTATATTTTTATAATTAATTAATATATGCATATATATACACACACTTATATGTATGTATTCATGTTTATTGTTTATATTCATGATCATATTTATATGTGATATGTATGACGGCTAAGTGCACCGTGCAACTATGCAAAACCACACTGGCAGAGCTGCAAGAACATTGATGTCGTGGGCTAACGACTTTCTCCCAATGCCAGAAGTGCCCAAAAGAGTAATTCCCAATCATCCTAAGTCATCATCCTAAACAGAGCTTTGACCCCACAGCAGATGTAGGGTTGAGGGGTTTAGGGGTTTAGGATGCACATGCCCTGAACCTTAACATCCAAAACAGCGTTAGTTCGGCGCCTAGGCCGTGATGACGTTGGTTTTAGGGCTTGGGGTTCAGGGGTTTTGGGGGTCTAGAGCTTAGGGCTTCAGGGCTTCAGGGCTTTGGGGTCCGTAGTCATGGGATTCCAGCTCGGACCCCTGAGGTTACGGGTCCGAGTATGACGAACCCGTATATAAGGGGTCCCCATTTAAGGGCCCATACTTTATAAGGGACCATGTAAATACCCTTAGGGCCTAGGGTATGTGCTGTACCATCATCGCCAGAGGAGCTGGTGTTCCGGCCCCTAGATGTGCTGCTACCGGAGGCCTTTTTTTTTTTGGCTGCCATGCCGTCAGCTAGTCTAGGGTTGGGTTTAGGGTTTCGGGTATCTGTGTAGGGCTTAGGGTTTAGGTTTAGGGTCTAGGGTTTAGGGCTTAAAGTCTAGGGTTTAGGGTTTAGGGTATGACAGAGGATAGTTGGCTGGCTCGAGAAGCTGAACGTTCAGCGGGCTCACAGTTCGAACGTGTTACATTACGCCAAAGCCCTAAACCTTTCCTGCATCCAACCTCATTCCTTACACCCCAAACCCCCAACTCCCTAAACTTCCCAGGCTCCCTGAACCCTAAGCTTTCTGAACCCTTCCTAGCAACCGAATTTAAGCCTTCCACCCCAAACCCAACTCCCTGAGCTCCCGGAACTCCCTAAACCCTCAGCCCTTCGATGTCCTATAAACGAGAAGCAGTTCTGTCGGGCTTTGAGTTTAGGGCCCCTAGGTTCCTGTTGAACAGGGTTTAGGGTTCATGGGCAAGGCCTATGGGCTTAAGGGGCGTTAGTACTCGCAGATCCGGAAGCCCGAACCCCAAAAGCCTACACTTGGAACCCTCAACCTGAAACCCCTTAACCCGAAGCCCTAAATCCCTTAACCCTAAACCCGCAATGCCTGCTATCCCTAAACCCCAAACCCTAAACCCCAAACCCCAAACCCTAAACCCTAAACCCCAATCCCTAAACCCTAAATCCCAGGGCTCCTCGGTGCTGATGCTGCCGTCCCAGGAGGTGCCAGTTCGCTGGGACCCAAAGTGGGACCCTTGATTTTGGGGTTTAGGGTTTAGGGTTTAGGGTTTACGGTTTAGGGTTTAGGGTAACTAGGACCAGAGGGGAACCCTATTGCCCCCTTTGGAGGTTTAGGTTCTCTTACAAGCCCCTTCAAAACACCAAAAAGAGAGACCCTTATTCCTCTTTTGGGGGGTTTAGGTTCTCTTATCAGCCCCATTTAACCCAAGAAGGGCACTCTTGTCATGCCAAGGTTACTCCTAGGTCTAGTTGCGGCTTGGGGTTTTGGGTTTGCAGCTTTGGCTGCCTCTTGTGCAGATACAACCCCCCCCCCCCCTGTAGTTTCCATGTTCGAGTTAGTTTCACCCGTGCCCGAAACCCTAAACCCTAAACCCTAAACCCTAAACCCTAAACCCTAAACCCCCCTAAACCCTAAACCCTTCGGACTTGGGGCTGAGTGAGTGAGCTTTGTCTGCGTCAAAATTGGGTTTGGTGCTTCTAGGAGCGAAGCTTGAAGGTGTATCATTTTTGGACCGTACGATTCGCCCGCAAAATGCGTATCTTCCCCACGAGGGGAAAATCCTGTCCTGGCCCTAGATCATTCCTATTTCTAGGGTTACCCTGACCCCTAAACCCTGTGGTTACCCTAACCCTAAACCCTCAACCCTCAGACCCTAAACCCTAAAACCCTTAACCCCAAAGTGGTCTTTTTCCGACCCCCCCCCCCCCCCCCCCCCCCCCCGATATATGCCTTGCCACTTGCAGATGGCCGGCCATGCCAAATTGCTGGGCATCATTGTTCCTTAGCTGCAAAGTAGGCAGCAGGTAGCCCTAAACCCTAAACCCTAAACCCTAAAACCCTAAATGTACAGTGAAAGCCCCGGGCATCACAAGCCGCGACGCGACCAAGGTGTGCGGCTACCTTGCGACATTCACGAAGCTTGGCCAGCTTGTGGTTCAGCAGGTGTCATGCACAGCTACGTATACGTAATATGTCTATATATGGTGGTTTCGTGTAGGGTTTAGGGTTTAGGCTTTAGGGTTTAGGGTTTAGGCTTTAGGGTTTACGGTTTAGGGTTTAGGGTGTAGGGTGTAGGGTTTAGGGTTTAGGGTTTAGGCTTCAGGGTTTAGGGTTTAGGGTTAGGGTTTAGGGAGGATCTCAGGGTTTTCATTTTGCGTCTTCCTGGCTCAGGGTCGTTTCGAAGATGCTCAACGTCTTCATGGTGATGGAGCAGCTCAGCAGAGAAAGGCTGGTTTTATAGGGTTCTTAAGGGAGGTGGGTTGCATGGGGGGTAGGTACCTAGGGAGGCTGAGGGAGCCTGAGGGAGTGGTGGGGAGTATTTGGCCTTGGGTTACCTACCCCGCTTGACAAACCCCCCTCTCCCTTGAGAACCCTAGAACTGTTGCCATGTTTAGGGTTGCAGAGGACTTCTCTTCGTCACAGGCATGAGCGAGGTTCCCCCATGACCGTGATATTGACTTCAAAAATCCCTAAGCCCTAAACCCTAAACCCTAAACCCTAAACCCTAAACCCTGCTTACCGAAATCAGCCACAGCAAGCCTCGACAATGCCACGCCGTCTCAGCCGATAGCCGTCCTGAACAACCCTGAAGCATCATCAACCCTAATTCCTAACCCTAAACAGGCATCCTCCTAGCACCTTTAGCCCTAAACCCTAAACCCTAAACCCTAAACCCTAAAGCCGCCATTTAGCCCGAACAGCCCCGGAGCCCTAAACCCAAGCATTCGAAGCCTCCGGGGCCTCTCAGCCGGGCTCCAAGAATGCTCATCCCCGGCATGGGGGGAAATCCCAAAATAGGTGCACAGTATATACATATATATAAATATAAATATAAATATAAATATAAATATATATATACATAAATATATATATATATATATATATTTATTTTTATTTATATATATATATATATATGTATAGTTATTTATTTACTTATATTTATTGTTTACTTGTTTATTGATTGATGTTTTTTGATTTATTTATTTGTTTATGTGTTTTTTTTACTTATTCATGCATTATTATCAGTTTTAATATTGTTGTTATTATCTATTTTGATTTTTTTTGGGTGGGGTTAGGGTTTAGGGTTTAGGCGATGTCGGGTTTAGGGTTTCTTGGCAGGCATACAACTGGTTACCCCTTTCTTTGGGGAAGAGCAACCCAGGCCCTTCTGCTGCCTGGTGTGCCCTGGCAAGTGTTGGGGTTGGAGGCGACCTCCTTCTCCCTAGAACCCTAAAGTCCCAAGCCCCTTGACCCTAAAACCCGAAAATCTTAAACCCTAACACCCTGACAGCCTAAAAGGCCTAAAAGCCCCTAACACGTAGAACCTTAAACCCAAGGCCGACCTTTTTTGCGCAAGATAGCTGTTCTGCTTGCCCTGCTCGATCTCGCAGGGACGACGCGCTGACAAGGGAGAGCCCCTCTTTTTCCTAGGTGACAGGGGGATGGGGTTTAGGGCTGAGGGTTGAGGGTTTAGGGTTTAGCGTTTAGGGATGAAACCTCAAACCCTAAACCCTGCATGAAAGGCTCCTGCTGGCTGTGATTCGCACCACCTTTGCCAGCCGCACGGTACCTTTCGAGGAGAAACTTGGCCTACAAGTCTGAGGGTTCAGGGCTTAGGCTGTTTAGGGTTTAGGCTGTTTAGGGTTTTAGGTGTAGGGTTGAGGGTTTAGGACGTAACGCTCCGGGTGTAGGATTCCCCTTTACGTAACCTTGGTAAACTCCAAATTGCAGAACGCCCGAGCTGCCCTGTATAACACCATCCATCCCTTGAAGAACAAGGGATTAGACACCCTAAACCCTAAACCCTAAACCCTAAACCCTAAGGTTGTACCCCTAAACGGTTTCCCTCAATATATGTGGTGCAGCGTCGCCCAGTCCCCCCTTCCCTACCCCTCGCCCCCGCCGCCCCCCCCCCCCCCCCCGTCGTTGGGATGGTGGGTAGGGTTTAGGGTTTAGGGTTTCGGGCTTTAGGGGTTTAGGCTTTTGGGGTCTAGGGTAATAAGGGGATGGAGGGGGGGGGGGGGGGGGGGGGGGGGGGGGGACGGGGGGGGGGGACGTTGACACGGCGACACGGAACCATGTATTCCGAATGTGACCCGTTTTTCTACCTTCAAAAAGGGTCCCCAAAACCCAAGGCTACAACCTTCAGGGCCCAAGATACAAACCCTGAACCCTAAACCCTAAACCCCAAACCCTAAACCCTGAACCCTGAACCCTAGACCCTGAACCCTGAACCCTAGAACCCTTTCCTTCTTCTCCTAGGTTGCACCGGGGCATCCTCGAATCGACTTCCTTGTAAGGGTTTAGGCTTGGCAAGGTAGGCCCCTTGGGATCCCAAAGCCCTAAACCCTAAACCCTAAACCCTAAACCCTTATGTTTTCTTTTATTGGGTTCAAGAGGATCATACTTAGGAATCTTCTTCAGAGGGCTTTAAGGGCCATCCTAGGGTTCGGTAGGCTCTAGGGTAGAGAGGGCTTTCTCAGTAGTCTGGCCATCAAAGGCGTTTTCGACTTTGGACAAAGGGTTCACGCCGACAAAGACCAAGACCTGTACCTCCAGTGTAGTTTGCTTTTTCGAGGAGGGAATAATGGAGCCATCACTTTCGGTGGGAGGGGGTTCTGGCCGGTAGTGCAGTACTATCGCTAATTCCATCGACTTCCTTTTGCTGGCCACCTCTCCGAATACAGCCCGATCCCCCCTGCATCAGGCCTCCCTTGGCCCCCGCCCCTCACCCCTCGAACGTTATAGGAAACTACACTACCAATGCAAGATGATATGATTTTTCTTGTCCTTGTACGGGTTCGTTCACCTGTGTCCCTTCGATTCGTTTTTGAGAGAGGGGGGGGGGGGGGGGGGTAAACCCTAAAACCCTAAAACCCTAAATCCTTAAAACCCTAAAGCCCTAAAGCCCTAAAACCCTAAAGCCCTAAAACCCTAAAACCCTAAAACCCCAAAACCGCAACCCCCAAACCCCACACCCCACACCCCAAACCCCAGCCAAGGGGCAGTTGGGGCAAGGAGAAGGCTTGGAGTTTCCATCCGCGTTGCTCTAAGGCAGCGCGAAGACAAGGCGAATGAGCTCCTCAAGGTTGCACTTGTGGTGGAGGCCACGTGCAGGGTTTAGGGTTTAGAGTTTAAGGGTTTAGGGTTAAGGGTTTAGGGTTTAGGGTTTAGGGTTTAGGGTTTAGGGTTTCGGCGGGTTCTACAACGTTCTAAACAGTCTGTTGCTTTGTGGGAGGGAGGGAAGAAGGGGGGAGTCGGTGCTCCGTTCCTGCTTGTTCTGAAAAGTGAGTCTTACTTCGCCTTTAGCTGAACTTTAAACTTTTTGGGTTTCTTTTTTTAGTAGGAATATTAAAGTTTAACCTTTTTCCCCTTGGTTATTGGAGAAGTAAGGAGTATGGGTTTTCTTGGGTTCAATCAACCCCCTAGTGGAACCCAAAGGCTTCCCGTTTGGAACCATCAGAGGGTTTGGAGTTTTTAGGGTTCCGACTAAACCCTAAACCCTAAACCCTAAACCCTAAACCCTAAACCCTAAACCCTAAACCCTAAACCCTAAACCCTAAACCCTAATTCAGTAGCATCATCAAAAGCCCCAAAGATCCGGGCAACGCCCTTTACGCAGACTACGTTGTCCTAAGTTGTGCCCCTCGAAAAGAGAGGCCCATTTCCGAGGTTCCCTCTTTAGGGTTCTTTGATGACACCAAAAAAGTCCTAAACCTTAAACCTTAAACTAAACCCTATATACCCTATACCCTGAACCCTACCCACCCACCCCCGCATGCCACCAGGTTTCAGGGTTCAGGGCTCGCAG